TGACATCGTGAACAACCCTTTTTTATCCTATCTATGTGTTCTCGAATTCTGCTACTCTATCCGGCTCGAAGGACCACGTTTCGCACAATCTGCGCGAAGTGCTGGTTCACTGCTCTCGAAACTTCACTCGAACGATGGGACTGTATTTTGACAATTGTATTTAACACTTGATAGGATATTTACAGTGGTTTGTGCACGATTTATGATACGGAGTTCCAAACGTTGGTTCTTTGCGACACAAATATGTTATTGAAACGTTGAGATTACGGCCAACCGTCAATCTTTAAACTTGAAACTTATTCAAACGCTATCGCCTCCTGCGATACGATTTCCAACTTATCACTTTTGTACGTCTAACAACGTCTGTTTTTCCGAATGCCGAACCAACGCTTGCAAGCTCTTATTTATATTATAATTATTAGGATATGATTTTTGGGCGTTTGCATGACTTGCAACGCGCCATTCCGTTTATAGAGTACCGTCATTACCTACATCCTACCACAATGCCACATTGGGTAGAAAAGGTGTTCCTAAGTATTTTAAATTTACGTACAGGATTTCCACTGAAACCACAGTTTAGTAACTATATACGTATTTGTCTAGTAATATATGACTTAACATTTTACATAAACATAATATCCGTTATATCTTAGTATCAAAAATATGACACAGTCACACTCTACATAACATAACATGACAATTTACAACAGCATCAAAACAAATTTTAAAGTTTAGTAACCACAAATACAATTAATAGCTTTTTTTTTCTTGAAAAAATATTTACGACGCTTTACAACGATGTGTAAATATCGAGTTTGAATTATCCGCTACAGTGTAGGGGTCTCCAAACTACGGCCCGCGGGCCAGATGCGGCCCGTTGGGCCTCTCAATCCGGCCCGCAGAGACACTTAAGGAAAAAAATAATACTATTAAACAAAATAAACTTCGTGCAGAAAGTTCACCTTATGACGCAAGCAAACTAGCAAGAGTGGCTTACGTCAATTTTTGTCCGAACTTCCTACTTCCGTTTCAAGCACATTGCGAAATTTAAAAAGCTGAAGGTAACGTGGAAATTTGTTATATTTCAATGCTTCATAATGAAAGTTCATGTGGCCCTCTGGCTGTAAAGTTTGGAGACCCCTGCGCTACACGTACAGTGGGTTATCAAAAAAAGTGTTCCCCCATAAAAAATAGGTTTAGGTACATAAATTACAGTTTAAAAATATTATGATAATCTAACAAGATATATATATGTAGCAAAGAACAATACTCAAGCAGTACTTTACGCACTATGAAAATGCGAAAAGCTAACTATCGTTGAATTATGTAAAAATATGCATTTTCCATTAGTAATTTGAGACAATAATCAAGGTAACAGACAAACTCACAAAACGTACATATGCCAAAATGTCAGCCCAGCAACAATGAAATAATTCGGTTGATTAATACATATTGCAACAAAACGTAACACTAACATCAGGCAATTTTCAAAATACACGGAAAAAGGCTGAGATGTCAATTCCCAACAGCATGTGTGGCGAACAAATAGATTTTGCAAAGTTTATGAACTAACAACCCCATATTTAATGGAGGGCCAATTTTTGGTCACACACTGTACTTTGCTTTGCAACTGAAATAGAAGGCTAGACTTTATCCAAACTTGTTTCATAAATAAATTGCACATTAGTGCATTAATATATCAGTATAAATCTCAATAAATTCCCTAAACACGAATTGCCACTTCAATGTTATAAATTTTCAAATCAAAAGTCGTTCCTTTTACAATTCCTTCTCGTGAAAACTGGGAAACCGTACAACGAAACTAAGAAAATATTTACTTGTTTAATGTAAACGAAACTACAGAAATTTCTGAAAAATCGACGTTTGCAAATATATCGTGAGAATTTTTGTAAATCATCACAATCACGGCAATTTTACACTTACATATAGACCGTGATTAGAGACGCAAGAAATAATCAATTCCTTAAATTCAGATCACGTTACGTTCACAATATTCTTTTAGTAGCAAATGCTTTAACAATAACATATTGATACTAGGAAAAAGAAAATTTGAAATTTACCTACCCATAGTAGGGATGAAGTACAATATCGCGTGGCATATCCAAGTTAGTATCGATTAAAGTAGAACGATATCGACCATCTAATTCAGAAACTTCAATTCGTTTTCTTCCAGCATCTGTCCAATACAACTTTCCTGTGACCCAATCTACTGCAAGACCATCTGGGGAAGCAACATTTTTAACAATAATTTTTTTATCATGTTCTATTTTGCTACTCAGGTTAGTCTGTTGAATTGAATTGCTTTTAATGCCAGTCCAAAACATCAAGGCCTTGCCAAAATGATAGTCTACTGCGATGATTCCTGCGAAATGAGGAACTATGCCAAAGAAGTCGGACTGTTTCTTGTGTAAAGTGAGTTTTCTGATGGAATAATGATCAGAAAATACGAGGTACGGGTGTCTATCTAAAAATAAGAAAACAACAAGTAAAAATAAAATTTGAGAACAAATGGGAGCATTCCATAGATCAAGTATCAAACAAACAGAAATATATCAAAGGAAACACGAGGAAGACACTAAACATAAATAAATACATGTCCTTATAAATATTTGCAATAATTATAAACACCTATAGCTTTGCAAGTTCGATGGTCCTTATCCAAGCGATAGCCAGCAACACAACTGCATCTTAATGGCTGGACAGTCTTGTTAAACACCTCACAGATCTGACTACACTGCTGAAATTCATCACATTCGTCAATTTCTAAATAAGCAAAAAAACCATTAAGAAATTGCAAAGAATACAATTCGAAGTTAACAATGTTTACTTCTACAAGTCTTTTCATCTTCTTCAAGTTTATATCCTGGACGACAAGAGCAAAAATGACCAAATTTTAATTTGTTACATTTATGGTCACATCCACCATTGTCATTAGAGCATTGTGGTTCACCTAGAATAGACACCAACACACAAGTTTCTAGTGCATTCATTTAAGCATTTATAAACTCTAAATTGTTACATACATCGTGACACATCAAATTAGCTAAAAATGCATGAACATTATATCACTATATAAATATATGTTTGAGGACATTTTACTAAGAGATGCCAATTAATCAGCCTATAGCTCACTTTTTAGCAATTATGTGCAATGTAGGTTGTGACAAACTCATTCCAAGGTTGTAATTCTTATTGATTGGTGCTGTTTTTGTTAAGGGTTGTTTTGATAATAGTTTAAAATCCTGTTTAAATAATTTGAACCAAATTTACTGTCTATTCATTTAGCTAACTGTAAAAAAACATTAACTTTTCTTTTAACATCTACAAGAGCCAGATACAACCTGTGTTAGTTAAATTTGACAAATTAGTTACAAAATTCTAGCTGTGCTAAGTTATGTAAAACAAATTGTTTTCAGGTTTATATGGGCAAAGGTCCGTTGTCAATAGAAATATTTATATTTTCAAACAATTAAAACTATTGAGAAGAAATCTGTCAATTTTTCTACAAAACTCAGCTTACCACAATTGTACTTTTCATCTGTACCATTGGGACAATCATTGTCACCATTACACAGCATCAATCTTTTAATGCACTTTTTAGAAATGGGACACATAAACTCATCTTTTTCACATTCTACAAAACCCATAATCACTGACTTAAAACCTGTTTGACTGTTAACCTAAAGTTCATCATTTATGATAATCAACATGTAAAATATCAAGTCTTCAAAAGCATTTGCTTTAGCAATATTTTAAATAATAATTATCTCTTATGGATTTTAAGCAAAACAATTATATTTCAATATATTAATTAATTATACTTCAGATGGATTTGTTTAAAGTAAAATTCCACAAACAAAACAGATCTTCTCAATATAGTGTAAAAGATATTTAAGATGAGAATATATGATATTCATATTAAAGAATAGGAAATCAAGAGTATGTAACCAATGTGACAACTGTTATACACTAGTTTCATCCTAACAAATTGTTTTACACTAGTTTTAATGGTACCATAGTTAAATTGACTAAATTTTGTACCTTTACTACAGTGCTTTTCATCATCACCAGATGTGCAATCACAGTCACCATCACAAACCCACTTATATGGAATACAACTTCCATCCTTACAGTCAAATCGATCAACATTACATTTTTTTCTATGTTTATGAGTTGAATTACAATTAGGTGGTTCATCAGATTGATCTTCACAATCGTAGTGACCATCACAATATGCTTCTTTCAAGATGCAACGCTTCTTTGTTGTACACTGGAACTCCAAATCATGCTTACACTCTGTATAAGCTGCAATTAGCAGAAAATTTAGTTTACTAATCCCATGTACTTCACTCATATGTGGGAATAAATGAAAAGCTTAAAAGACAAAGTGTACGAACATTGGCACAGGTCAGCAAAGTTTTGCCGATCTAGTTTTGCTAAATAATGTTTTTAGGTAAGACTGCTGAATGCTGATTTCAGTTTCAAAGACTGAATACTTATGCGTTTTTCAAAACAGTACATTCTAATCAGTAGCAAATCCAGGGTAGTCAAAATACATTACTGAAATTTATTTCCATTTAATTTAAAATACTTTGAAGTGAATCTTATTGGGAGTATTTTAGTGTTAAATATACTTTGGAAAATTTTAACCAACAAGATTGTTAAAAATACTGTTGAATTAAAACGAGCTTCCATAATTTATTTTGATGTACCCTAGATTTACCACTGGCTCTAAAAATTTGGGTTCTGGGTGCATAATTTATAAAACTGTAACAGTGACTTGTTTCAAGATACATTGTACCTAGTCCCAGTTGACAAGATGAATGAGCCAAACTTACTGCAATTTTCTTCATCAGAATGGTCATCACAGTCATCATTATGATCACACTTCCAATTTATATCAATACACTGGTTATTATTGCATTGAAATGATAATTTAGGACAAGGACGACACCTATTATATGTACAAATAAAACCACAATAAATATTCTTAGTGAGTTTTATATGAAAATGAACATGAAAAGATGAAATCTGTTATCATAAACAAATTCACCACAGTCAAATTCATCACTTCCATCATCACAATCTTTATAATTATCACATTTCCAAGATTCAATGATACATTTTTTACTGTCTTGGCACTTGAACTTGTTGTCAGAACAAGATATATTTGCTACAATAAAGGGACTGGTTACAAAATTATCACGTCACAACAGAGACACCAAACAAAAATGACTATACCACAATGTGAAGGTGATTCATCAGATCCATCTTTACAATCTTTGTAACCATCACAAATCATATATTTAAATTTACACTCTTTACCACAAGAAAACTTCTCTTGTGGACAAGAACCTAGAAAAGATATATCACAAATGCTACATAAAACACACGTATTTAGTCAACTCCAATGATTGCTTGGTGAAGAAACACCACAAAGATAAAATTAGTGCAAAAGTAAATTTCAAAGTAAAAATATAACATCAAGATGTGCAAAGGAGGAACACCTACTCACACACACAATACTGAAGTTTCATGTTTTAAAGATTGAAAATGTCAACAATCATTAATTAATTGGAACGCCTAGTATCAAGCCAAAAATGAAAGAAACTTAAAGTAATCACAAAGGTTCAAAATATGCCATAAAATTTTCGTTGTCAATATCCTTTAAGCGTCGATTTCCAGTCAGCTATCTTATCTGCACACACTGTTGACACACAAAATTACAAACTGTACAGTTGATTACCACAATTCATTTCATCGGAATGGTCAGAACAATCGTTTACACCGTCACACTCCCAATCTTTGGGCATGCACTTTCCATCGCTCTTACATTTAAACTGCACTTCGTCCGGTTTGCATGAGAAGTCTATATAAAGAACAAGTAACAATACTGTAATACAATATTTCGCATTTTATCAAAATACTACATTTGCCATAACAGCAGTAAAATAAAAGAATCTAGTAGAAAGATTTCGTTCGTTTGTAGTTATTAGGATTTAATACCATTTACAACTACTTAACACGACAACAAAATAACAAATCGGTTATAACAAAACAACAGTACATGTGAACTTATTCAACAACGTCAAAGCTGAATCTTTGTTTTGTTACGTTGTACACGCACCGTTTGCCTTTGACTTTAAAAAATAAACAGAAATGGCTAAATACACCAATAAATAGATTCCTTTGCTCCTTCTGTTTATCACCACCATATTAATAATTTTCAAGTGAATGCAATCTGTTCAATTAAAATAAAGAAATCCATGTTTTAGATTTTCGTCAGCAATCTAGTCCTATTATATCTATGTTACAAACGCTCCGGATACCTGGAATCAATATTGCAAGTGCCCAATGCGCATCTTTTAACCATAATCCTGATCGTAAACTTAGAGTACAAACACTAACAGTTAACTCGACTTGAAATATTTGTTTGTCCTAATTTCTTGCTTTTATGTCACGTGTCGTGACATAAGCATGTCATGTCACATTTCGTTCGTTTGTAGTTATTAGGATTTAATACCATTTACAACTACTTAACACGACAACAAAATAACAAATCGGTTATAACAAAACAACAGTATAAGCACGTCATAAGCATGTGTTCATGACATTGCGTTTGTAATTTTCAATACAATATGGCGCGAAACAATAAAACGATACGAAATCAATTATACTTTTATACCATATATGGTACAACAAAAGCACGTGAATCAAATTAGGACTTTTGATTGGGCGCTGGCCGGCAAGAACAGCTGTTACGTTTTCATTCATGCTTCGTGCAATATGAGTGATTGTGAGAAGTTAGCATTTGATTGGGTGATCAGTAAACGTTGGTCTACAATTTGAAATTTTGCACTAGGATGGGATGAAAAAAAGCCCTTTTAATTACAAGCAAATGATACAACTTTGTAACGAGCATTTGAAGCGGGCGTTTTTACGGATAAAATTGATACAATTAGATCTAAACTAACGTGCGTGGTATAAAATAAGGTGATTATTCACACTCCTTTTGGATTAAGATTGCATATTGCCATTGTCGAATACATCGGTTTTAAGGAAAATTGTAAATAAACCGAAGTTTTATAAAACTGAAATGTTATGAACAAGTTGTGGTATGTTTATGGCTATATAATGTCTTTGGAATTAAACTTTACCGTGCATACCGCATGGTAAGACGGCATGTTTAAATATTGATCACAAGACGGGAAATGATGAGGTTTTAATGTATATTTTGACAACTTTTGTTCCATAGAACAAAGTGCAACACTCAAAAATCTTATAACTAAAACAAAGATTATCATTTCTATATTTCGCTTGCTGAGTATCAAGGTTTTTCAGCGAAGTGTTTATGTTGAATGTCGATCACCTACCTATTGTGGTATTGTTTTAAATATGTGGATGAAAATATCAAATTTCCCCTGCTTGTTGTCAATAAGATATTGATTTTTTCATTAATATAGTTATTAATGTTTCAATAAAAACGTGAAGGTTTATTCGTTATCTCGCACTACGTACACTTATACTATAATGAACAAACACACGAATGAAAGATCAAACCGAAAGTTGGTGATGTTGTTTTTACACGGATAGCCTATTACAACTTTGCGTAGTTTTACTGGCCGATAGCTGTCGTCCTTACTAGAAATGAATGAGATGAATGATGATTAGTTCACTAATTATTTTCATTATTTTATAACACGAGTAGGTTTTTTTTTCACAAGAAAAGCTCAGAAATGGAAACTTAATTGGTAGCTACATTGTTTTGAAAGGTAGCTACATTGCTGCCGAAAGTCCACTTTAGTCCACATTGCTACCGAAAGTCCACTTTAGTCCACATTGCTACCTTAGCTTTAGTTCCCTTAGATATACAGCGAGTTATGAACTTCATAACTCGTGTGATGTTAAAATAAGCTATAAGCTATCCTATATATTCCAAGTGCTTATCAAAAGGAATCTTGTGTCAAAACTTTAGACTTTGTATGTATGGAAAACATTTCTTGGAGTTTGTTTGTCGATAGTAATTTGAAATTTAATGTTCAATTCCTATATTACGCATATAAAATAGGCAAACTGTGCTAAATATAGGATGAAGCACTCTTCTCTAGCGTGTTTATCAACCTGTAATTAAAGTAAGAGCCGTACATTTTTCTAGTTGAGTGTTTGGATGAAATTAATAAGTATTCGAATTCCCATTTCGATCTAATACTCTTATGAAGTTGCAATACCTGTATGTTGCTGCCGGATCATCGTCTGTTTCAAGCCATTTTCCTATCTGAAAGGAAAAACATAATTTAGTGAACATACTGTCTTTAGTCAAGCTCTCAACCCAGATACGAAACTAAAACGCTAATTGGGGAGGGGGGTGTATTTATATAATTAGTTATGCCCTGCTGATTGCTTTAGAAAGCTAATTTTCTTTCAATTACTTTCAATATATCAATATACACACTAACTTTAATTAACGTTATAATTTCGCCCCTGCTCAAACCACGGTGTTACTCACGTCATTAGCATTAGGTATGGTGGCTGATACGGCCAGGATTCTTATATTTGTTCCGAAAATTTCTTTTCGATGACAGATTCGACTTTCTGTAGTCTTGACCGTTTTCATTCTGCTTATTACTGCTTCCATTGTTGGTCCACGTGACTCGTCGTTCAGTAAATGCACCTGGTTATTTTTTTATATAAAAAAGATTGCAAGTTATTTGTTTGATGTACATGTACTGGTATACCATGTTTAGTAGCTACCATTATTATAAAGTTAGTCACAGCTAGAAACCTCGTCAACGAGAAATAATCGTACAGCTTGCACCAGAGCTTTGTCATACTGTCATACTGTCCACAAAACATCATTAATCATGTTTCATGAACAGCAACACATCATGAATGTGCATTATATATGCACATTCATGATGCATATATATAATTATCATATTGTATATACATATGGCACAATTAATAATATATAATTATCATATATATATATATATATATATATATATATATATATATATATATATATATATATATATATATATATATATATAAGTTTGAAAATTTGTAATCCAGGCATTGAATATATAAAAGATAAAACGTTTCTCCGGATTTTTAAATGATTTTTATTGAGCTTTCGACTCGTTGCTTCGAGCCTTCATCAGAATGAAAAATATTTATTTACACGTGCTTTTAGCTTGGAGACGTTTAGAGCGTCTAATTGGATTAGTGGGTGGATTAATGTGATTGGATGGGGTGAAATGCGTTGCCATGGGTTTTGATGTGTTGTTAATATGATTGGTGTTAGTAATATTAGAGTGTAGTGTTTTAGTTTTGGTGTTGTTTGTAGTTTTTTTGTCCTTTTTCTTTAGTTGTGAGTATATGATGGGTATGTCGATATGTCTGTTTACTGTGTCGTTGTCTTCACTGTACCAAGCTTCTTTAAATTCGCGTGCTTGTTTAGTCTGTGCGCGTCCGAGTACTTTAGTTTCTGTCCAGTCGAATGTGTGGTTGTTTCCGTGGGTATGTTCTGCCGGTAGTGAGTTCGGATCTCGTCGTTTTATGGCGTTTTTGTGTTCTGTGAGTCTTGTTTCAATTTTCTTAGATGTTTGTCCTATGTATTGCTTCGAACAGTCTTTGCATGGTATCATGTAGATCGCGTCAGTTGTATCATGAATTGTTGTTTTGTCTTTATGTTTGGTGAAATATGATTTGAGTTTTTGTGTAGGTTTGTGGGCGACGTTAATATTAAATGGTCGAAGAAGTCTGGCAGTCATTTCTGATGTTCCGTTTATGTATGGTAATGTGACGATTTTTACTGTTTCGTCTGGTTTTTTGTTGCTTTTGTCGGTTTGTGTTTTGTTTTGTATTTTGTATATAGTTTTGTTTATGAAGTTTCTAGGGTAGTTGTTTTTAATAAATGTGGAGTATAAGTAGTTGCGTTCTGTTTTTTGGCTTCTTCCGTATTATAATTTTGGCTTTATAACATTCTGTATCCATTAGTCAAAAATTCACCTTACACCATCCGAAATGCCACCACTTTCCTCGCCAGTATTGAAAACATTAAACTACGACCAGACGAAATCATGATATCCTACGACGTGACATCACTCTTCACATCCATACCACTAGACATTGCCAAACAAATTACAAACGAACTACTCACAAACGACAAAACTTGGCAAGCTACAACACACCTAGACAAAAATGACATCCTAGACTTACTCAACCTTTGCCTCTCCACTGAATTCACCTTCCAAAACACATACTACAGACAAATTTCAGGCACACCAATGGGATCACCACTATCCACCTTCCTCGCAGAAGCTGTCATGCAACACCTCGAAACACAATCAGTCACAAACAACACAAACATCAGACTATGGAAAAGATATGTCGACGACATCTTTGCCATAGTCAAGAAAGACAAAACTGAACAAATCCTACACACCATAAACAATACCACAAAGAACATTACCTTTACTAAAGACGAAGAACACGACAAACAACTTACCTTCCTCGACATCCTACTAACCAGAACAGATGACGGTACACTAAACACACAAGTATACCGCAAAACCACCCATACAGACCAAATACTCGATTTCAACAGCAATCACCCAACACAACACAAAATAAGCTGCATTCGAACACTTTTCAACAGGATAAACACTCATTGTAATACGGAAGAAGCCAAAAAAACAGAACGCAACTACTTATACTCCACATTTATTAAAACAACTACCCTAGAAACTTCATAAACAAAACTATATACAAAATACAAAACAAAACACAAACCGACAAAAGCAACAAAAACCGGACGAAACAGTAAAATCGTCACATTACCATACATAAACGGAACATCAGAAATGACTGCCAGACTTCTTCGACCATTTAATATTAACGTCGCCCACAAACCTACACAAAAACTCAAATCATATTTCACCAAACATAAAGACAAAACAACAATTCATGATACAACTGACGCGATCTACATGATACCATGCAAAGACTGTTCGAAGCAATACATAGGACAAACATCTAAGAAAATTGAAACAAGACTCACAGAACACAAAAACGCCATAAAACGACGAGATCCGAACTCACTACCGGCAGAACATACCCACGGAAACAACCACACATTCGACTGGACAGAAACTAAAGTACTCGGACGCGCACAGACTAAACAAGCACGCGAATTTAAAGAAGCTTGGTACAGTGAAGACAACGACACAGTAAACAGACATATCGACATACCCATCATATACTCACAACTAAAGAAAAAGGACAAAAAAACTACAAACAACACCAAAACTAAAACACTACATTCTAATATTATTAACACCAACCATATTAACAACACACCAAAACCCATGGCAACGCATTTCACTCCATCCAATCACATTAATCCACCCACTAATCCAATTAGACGCTCTAAACGTCTCCAAGCTAAAAGCACGTGTAGTTAAATATCCTCATTCTGATGAAGGCTCGAAGCAACGAGTCGAAAGCTCAATAAAAATCATTTAAAAATCCGGAGAAACTTTTATCTTTTATATAAACCTATATATTTATATATATATAACATATACTTACTTTCTTCAAGAAATCTTGGAGAAATGGACCATAAATGTTAATATTACGACAAAGTCGTTTGGACTCTCTTCACAAGGGAGAATTTAAGTGGCTATACGACAATATATTGATAATGTACACTCTATCGGGAATGATTTATGCAAATAGTTTTGATTTGGGTAATGCATTTCCATAAATCTGGGACTGACAGGAATCGTATTTTTCTACTTCATTTTTAATCTGAAATGTCTAAATGTCCAAGAAACGTTGTTTTTTGGCATAACATTTATATATTTGGCGATTTATGTCCTATCAATTTTAGTCAATTCATCTTTTGAGCGTAACGTCAGTGAACAATGATTATGGAGACATTGTATTGTAGCACATTTATCAACTGCGTTAACTATTTCTTTTCTTGGTTCTTCTTGGCGGCGCTTCCAGCATTAACAAAAATATAGCAGTAGCATATAAATACTCTCAGTAATCTTTTTATTCGCCATATTTAAACTCTATCTTTTCCAGGTCATTACAGATTTGTTTTCATTACGTGAAGAATTAACTCGCCATAATAACATTCGTGTTCACATGGCCTGTAATGTAAATACTTTACCAGAGAAGGCGAGCGAGATATGGGAGACTGAATTCATTCCCAACTCTTGTCCATATAAAGCGCAACTACAGTGTGTATTACCAGAGGATACTTTTTTTAAATTCCGTTTAAATCACCATTTATCCATGTTGAATCCTATGTACCCATTATATTTGTATCAGGTTGGAGAATGTGCAAAATGTGCGCGTGTTTTTACGAGAAAATGTTGGAAGTAAAATCATCGGAGTTGGTTCTGTGGAATCATCATTTCTCATTCAATGCTGTCGTTGTATTCAAAGTTATACAGATCCAGATTTTCCCGCTATTTTAGTCTTCATTGAGTGTTTGACTGCTTTGGAGGTATGCTTTGGATGAAAAATTTATTGAGGTTTTTGCACGTTTTTATACATGGACTGGATGTTTTATTTTCGAGGGTCCAATGTGGCGTACTATCCGTGAGCTTGGACTCTCCTATCACTACAGGTACTATTCACTTCATCTGAAACTCTTATAGTCCTGCTGTGTACCTTATTGTTCGTCTTCATCTTTGTACCCAGTATGCATTGCGATCCTGAAGAAGGTCTGATGTACTTCATATTGAAAGTCCAAGCAATATTGTTCAAAGCAAGTCATCCAGTTAAAGCTTATGAGAAAGCCAAAGAGATTATGGTATATTGTGTTCATCATTCTAAACGTTGATATTCCCTTGTGCCGAACTTAACTAAATTGGACACATGGAAAGCATGAAGTTTACAAATGCAAGCAGTGAATAAATTGTCATGTTAATTTCCCATACTTAGGACGGATATGTCACTGGTGCTGTTTCATTTGAGATAGTCCAGTTAGAATCTGCGATCAGTAGCGTAATGTTTGAAGTCATATGTCAAGAATCAGTTGGCAATTTTGCTTATGAGGTGACGTAATGTTTTAACACGGTGACGTCATTCAACTTAGTCATACTAATGATCGACTATTCTGTGTTTAGAATCTGTTATCGCAACTGCGAAATGTTGGTCAAGATTATAACAAGTAATCTTTCCTTTTGACTTACATTTTTTATGGTTTTTTTTCACAATCACTGATTTCAATAACTTTCTCCAGAACACTACTTCAGAGAGTTTCCATGGTAACACTTGATGATTTGAAAAGAGTCGGTGAAAAATAGTTTAGTCGTCTGTTTAGTATAGAGAGTTCAAACTGTGCCATTTGTTGTCATCTGTCAAAAGTTGAAGAAATCCGGGCTTCATTTGCACAACAGTATGTGTGTTGAGATGCAGTGTCTAGTCCAATGATGATTTCTACAATATTTTTTGTCATTTTCTGTAGGTTTGGTCGACAAATGACCGTGATTACATCAGTGGATAACGAAATAAATTTTTTCTTCAATGAAGTATTTAATACAATCTAATATTTTATTATTTATTGTTGAATAATAAAGCCTCCATACGGTCAACATCAAATATAAATGAATAATCACAATTTTTATACAAACTATGTTTCGTAAAAGGTAGTTTTGCACAAAACCAGCTTTTTTTCTCAGGCTGTATACTTGCTTTGAATAATTTAGTGTCATATTACAACTGCGTATATTGTTACGAATAATTATTTTAATGTCGACATGGGTGAAAAAGAAAAAAAAACAAACTAAATCAAAGTTATACAACTAAATCAAAGTTATACAACTAAATCAAAGTTATACAACTAAATCAAAGTTATACAAGGAATTATAATTTGTTTTTTTAATAAACTGTCCTTAAGCTGAAATTATCATATGAAAAGAAAGGTATTAAAATAAATAGTTATGTTGCTGTTTCATTATGTTGTTGTAAGTAAACTTTTGCGCTTTCTGCTAATATATTTATATATAATTATTAAGCGAAGCATGGTGTCACATAATTCAAAGTAAATTTTTTTTTAATTCTAAGTTTGTGCCACCTCCAGATCTTTCAAATATTATGGAGGATATAAAATACCATAGAATTGTGAAGTTTAAAAATATCCGAGTGAATATATCCAGAGTTATGAGTAATTTTCTAATTTTTTGCGCTTTCTGCTAATATATTTATATATAATTATTGAGTCGAGCATGGCGTCACATATCTTTAAAGTGAATATTTTTTTGTTTCTAAGTTTGTGCCATCTCCAGATCTTTGTTATATTATAAAAGATATAAAATGCTATAGAATTGTGAAGTTTAAAAAAGTTGGACGAAATAGATCAAGAGTTATGACTATATTTCTAAATGTAGGGTTTTCCCCTAATTTATTTATATGTAAATATTAAGCGAGCATGGCGTCACATAATTTTAAAGTAAATTTTTTTTTAAATCTAAGTTTGTGCCACGTCTAAATCTTTTATAGGCCTCCTCCTTCTCAGCCTTACTCTCAATCAATCCTTTGTAAATCCCTTGCCACAGTTTTCATATCATAAATGTTTCTTACGAACAACCGTGCTGTTTCATGTTATTCTTATTAAATGTTTTACTAAAATGTTCACATTGATAAGGTTTTTCTTGTGTGTATCTTCATGTGTCTTTTTAATTTATTAGACTCTTTAAATCTTTTACCACAATGTTCACAATGATAAGGTTTCTCCCCAGTATGTATCCTAATGTGTGTTTTCAGGTGAGACTTGTTATTAAATCTTTTACCACAATGTTCACATTGATAAGGTTTCTCTCCTGTATGTATCGTAAGGTGTCGATTTAAGTCTCTAGGCGCTTTAAATGTTTTACCACAGTTTTACATTGATAAGGTTTCTCTCCCGTATGTTTCCTAAGGTGTTGTTTCAAGGCTACATTCCATATAAAAGTTTTACCACAATGTTCACATTTATAAGGGGAGAAACCTTATGACAAATATTCAAGCAACTGTATGGATGAATTCATGAATATCACAATTCTTGAATGTGTGTATAATGGATTCCATATAAATGTTTTACCACAATGTTCACATTTATAAGCAGAGAAACCTTATAAATGTGAACATTGTCGTAAAACTTCATAGCATTTGATGTTCCCTTCCATTGGTGTACTTCAAAGAAATGAAATTTTTTCGAAAGACGTTCTCCATCGTTAAAACAACTGCATTGGTCACAATTTTAAAGCAAATATCAAATCGCAGTTAATGAACTGATGTTTAAATATTCATGACTGTAAACTAACAAAAGTAAAGTACTTACAAATGTTAAGATCATCATTAGGTACATCTTCCTCTGTATAAATCTTTTTGGATGACTTTCTTAATGATCGTCTTAAAGAAGTCTTTTTCAGAGCTTTACAGTTATATTTGATGGATTTTCTTTTAATGATGGATTTAGTTTTTTTGTCATTTACATCGTTGACCTTGGGTTTTGACGTTGACGAATTACTGATTGTTTTAGAAGAAACCTGTAAAAACGTTTTATTGAAATTCAACCAAAAAATGTGAAAATATTTACTTAGAGCTCATCTTTTCCTTTTATCCATTTTCTAAAACATAACTGTTTATTTGCAAATTTCTTCATGACTTCAGTTTATAATGTTGTTTTAAAAACTATAAGAAAGCAATTTCATTTTTACCAAACATGAATGCAAAATACATTATAATGAATAATGAATGTTGTTTATTTATTATTTTTTATTTGTTCGCATGTTAGAGACGGTTTAAAATTCTAAAGCTGTTGAATGTATATGTACCCTGGTTGAAATACTTATTTATAAAAAGATTTCGACTGCCAACAAATAGTGGTGCACGCAGCCTTAGTTTTGGTTCTGCCCTTATGAAATTTTAGAATATCATCATTCATTCCAGTTTCAGAATTTATTGTTTTCTCAATAAGTGAACACGGAGTAAAACTTTTTCGAAAAAGAGAGGAAATTTAAGGGACAGTGACAATATATATTTGTGATTACATTCAGTCAGCCATGATGGTGATGAAAGATGACAGAGATATTTGATAAGATCTCTCTTGTTGTTTCATGAAATGCTTAGTTTTGGAAAGAAGTAGAATCTTCCGCAGCAATGTTTTATCAATTAAGGTTGATCGTGCAAGGAAACTGATTAAGTGAAGTATGTAAGAAAAAAGCCACCAACCTTTCTTTGGATTGCAAACATAAATATGCAACCTCATGTGATATTCCTTGCAATGACTCCCAGACTTTGACTTCAATGATTGTCGGTCCCCATTTCCCGTACCTGTATGGGGATTATAGAGTGGTTAGCTGGTGGATTTAACAGATGTACTCTTTCGTAGACGAAATCGTTATTTTTAATCTCTAGAAAATAACGAGATTATATTTTTTACCCTGTGATAGCAAAAAGAGGATATTTTGAAGATAGCCTTGTGTAATCGTGCATTTAGTCATTCTTTTTATCCATATTTTTTTCTCTTGCGCCGTGTGGTTAAAGTATATTTTGTTTTTTTTTATACAAACGCATCCAGTTATTATTATTCTACGTACAAAGAGAATCATGCAAATACTCTTTAAGCGATTCAAAAGCAAACATAGCCTTAGCAACTGTATGGATGAATTCATGAATATCACAATTCTTGAATGTGTGTATAAAACATTAACACAATAAAAACGTCAGTCAATTTATTTTTGACTATTGTTTGAAAGATTAACCATAAAGAAGTGTCCAGGTGATTCTAGAACACAATCTTATCTTTTGTTTAAAATTTTTTCATCACTCCTTTATGCGTTACTTCACTGAAGAAGAGCCATACACAACGCGGATATATATGTTATATCAGCTGCTGTTCCTGTATTTCAAAGTGAATGTTAAACACAAAAACAATGCCGGCAAAACACAGATAATAATATTATTGTTATGATAATACAATAATACATAATACATATTAATATTAATATTATGATATTATGAAAACAGTATTATTAATATTATGATAACATTATTATGATTATTATCATAATCATAATACAATAATTACAGTAGATACAATGGGATACATATAATAATAACAGTAGCTTATTTCTTTTTTTTCACAAACATTCAATCATTCGACTTTCCTATAAAAAATGTAAGTAGGAAAAATATTCTATAGGACCAAACACATTGTTTAGAGAAATATGAAATCATGCTTTTGGTGCACATAACAAAGCTAACAAACGTTGACAAAATGACTTTCATATTTCCTTGTAACATCGCTTTGTAATGGATTTTTATTTCTGGAACCCGTTTCACGATGACTGGATAGCGTTATCCATTGGATAGTAAAATTTTCAAACTTGTAAAAAAGTGTTTATATTTTCTTTACGATATACAAATTTTTGTAATCTTGGAAGCAATATTTTCTTTTAGTGAATGCTCATTTCAAATCCTATATTTTTCTCGGTTTTTTTAACGTTCAAAAAAATTTGCTATCCAGTGGATAGCTCTATTCTGCCTTCGTGCAACCGTCCCCAGGTCGAAATGAGAATCTTAATCAATTAGCAAAGAAAATACTTCTAATTCAACAATACAAGAACTGTTTTCAAAGTAAGAACGATCACTGATCACTGAAACGTAAGAAGTATTTGCAGAACTCTCTACATGTAAATTTTTCTTAATTCTCATATCGTTATAGTCATGTAACACCTTGAAAAGTATTCCTATCTCTTTCATCACATTAGTACCTGAGACATTGTATAAAACTCTACCATGGCATCAGTCAACTGTTGAGCAGAGCTTCTTAGTGAGGGGATCAACCTGAACATGGCTCGATTACAGGTTCCGTATATCTGCGTTAAAGAAACTGCACCATGATAGTCGACATACACAACAGGCCCGTGACGTAAAAATCTACAAGAAATAACAATAAAACTTGTTGAGCACGTGACATACAGGGAATGGTTATTATAAACGTTGATAATCTCGTTAAAATAACATCTTATGGGTCACCTGTGAGTGAGTGGCTTTCTTCCTGGATCCGTAGGAGGATTACATGCTCCAACAAACTGAATTCTTTCTAACCTCACCCAAGATTGATCAGATGAGCGATAGAAACCATTGTGCTCTACCATTTGACGCAAGAAGGAAATAACTCTCTGGGTACCTGGTAAAACAATCCATGTGAATGCTTATAGATCAGTTTTACAGTATGGTACATGATGATAATAACTATAGGAAATATTCTGATAAAAATACGTTCTTGCTGCAATATAGTCGGCGATAACATGCTATTTAATATCAACAAATGACGTCTGCATATTCTAAGAGAAAGTCAAAATGTCGAGGGTTTTCTTAAATCGCCAAACAAATTTGAAGGAGTATCAACCTAAGATTATAGCCATTTAACACTTTCCTAAAGTAGCGTATGTGTACTAGATGGCCACTACATTTGCAAGAACTTAAGAGACGATTTTATCTACTAGAACAAATCACACGATTTATATTCAATACCAAACACATTAATACCATGATTATCCTTATCATACCATAATTATCCTTAATATGATATAATCATATTAAGATAAGATTAATATTTAACAATAAATCAATAATATAATATAATATATTATATAAGATATAATATAAAATTATATAAAATTATATTATATGATATCATATAATATAATATGATATATTATTGATTAAATTCATTACCATAATTATCCATGTCATACTATAATTATCCTTATCATACCATAATTATCCATGTCAGGTAATGCGAACAGCTTGTTTAAACATCGAGAATAACGAACAGCTTGTTTAAACATCTTGTTAAAACAGCTTGTTTAAACATCGAGAATAACGAACAGCTTGTTTAAACATCTTGTTAAAACAGCTTGTTTAAACATCGAGAATAACGAACAGCTTGTTTAAACATCTTGTTAAAACAGCTTGTTTAAACATCGAGAATAACGAACAGCTTGTTTAAACATCTTGTTAAAACAGCTTGTTTAAACATTTGCGAACAGCTTGTTTAAACATCGAGAATAACGAACAGCTTGTTTAAACATCTTGTTAAAACAGCTTGTTTAAACATCGAGAATAACGAACAGCTTGTTTAAACATCTTGTTAAAACAGCTTGTTTAAACATTTGCGAACAGCTTGTTTAAACATCGAGAATAACGAACAGCTTGTTTAAACATCTTGTTAAAACAGCTTGTTTAAACATCGAGAATAACGAACAGCTTGTTTAAACATCTTGTTAAAACAGCTTGTTTAAACATTTGCGAACAGCTTGTTTAAACATCGAGAATAACGAACCCAACGCCCTCAATCGAGTGAACCTAAGAAAACGTCATAAAAACAGATCAAATAAAAAACTTGAAGAAAAATTATTTGTAAATTTATTACTCTTTGAATGCACTAAAAATATACAACAATCAACTTGTATATTTGTATACTTGTATATACAACAATCAACTTGTATAGCAACAAAACAAAAAACTTTTCACTGGTAAAAAGTTAAGTTCTGTCGATTTGTTAAAATTTGTGTACAAAATAGCAACAATTTATTCTGCTAAACTTCTATTTTCTAGGCACTTGAGTATTAAAAAAGGGAAAAACACTTTAATCCACATATCAAAGACAAAACTAAACATAAAAAACATTATGATAAACACTGTTAAACGAGCCTGCATAGCTGGAGACAACACGTTTTCTTCCGTTTTTCTGCTCTGTTTTCTCAAAGTGATGTCCTCTTCGATCTCCTCTATTGGCTTGGCCTTCAACTCACTCAGGAAATTATCAAAAATCATTTCTGTTGATACGATATCTTCACTAAACCACACCATTCCACATCTACTGACAGTTGCCAATGTAGCGTAACGCAAGTCTTGCACTTCAAACATTACACGTACCTATAAACAGCGAAAAAACTCGAGATAACAGATTCCAGAATCTTCATTAAGTTATCAACGAAAGTTTTGGAAAAAGTTCAAAGTTTCACTCCTTACTCAACGTAATTTGAAGAAAATACACAAGGGCGGGGGGGGGGCGCTCTATAAATATGGGCAATAGTAGCTAAATTAAGAAACAATAAAAATATTAAAATATTTTCATATTAAAATATTTTCTTTGCTTGAAATATTTTCATACAGTGGTATATTTAAGCTATCGAAAAAAGGTACAAATTATTCAAATACGAGAATAAAAAAAAACCCAGTGAAGCCAGCCCACAACATTTAAACGTAAACCATGCCATGAATAAAAAGCAGATAAGATAAACTTACATTCCGTGGAATTCCCAATCTCTCACCGTTAGGTAGAGTTAAACGTTCATTGTCATCAAGAACACTGTTTATATTTTCCACCCATTCAGGGTCAACATCGCCATCAAATATGATCCACTGACGTTTGCTCAATTCACCACGAACATTATCTATGATCCTTAAAAATGAGACAACATAACATCATTTATTGTTATACATGTTATTACTCTTTTTTAAAATGATTTTGCTTACTTTCTTAAGAAATGTGTGAATAAGCCATCACTCCATTCTCGAGTGTTGGGATCAAGTGTACCATAAAGTTCATCTTTAGACATGGCCTAGAAGCATAAAAATACAGAGCTTATAATTCTATACAAACATACATTAACGATACAATACATTAAACTACTCAAGAATACTACATATGATAGTTTCACAACAATAAAACATATTATGCATTCTTCAACAGGACAATCATGAGCGTTCATTCACTTACAAGGTGAACTTGTCGACCAACTAGTTTTAAATTCAAATCAATTGTTTAATATTTAAAAAGGGAGAGCGTTGTAAAAGATTCAACAAAATTTAATTTTAAGATTTAATTTGTCAACATCTGTCTCAACATTTGTCTGGTAGATGATAAAAGGAGCCAAGCAAGATACACAACATCAAATTAAAACATTTCAAATTTTTGGGAGAAGATTTCGACTTACCTTGGGATCAATGACATGGGCAACACCTTCAACACCTTCAATCTTTCTAAAGCTTTAAGAAGAACTCGCCATGCCGTACTCTTCCCACTGCTACTTGGCCCAACCATCATTAAACCATGGTGAATCAAACTTATCTGATATAACTGAAGTATCTACGTAAAAAAACAACAAAGGTTGAAAGAATATAGGACATACGTCTTCAATAATGACAACAATGAAGACATCAGAATACTATTACAGCGGATAGTTGTTTTACATCTTTTTATTTCCAGCGGTGTTCATTGCAGACGCAACTAATAAATATACTTCATTTAGTACATTATAAAAATTTATGTAGTTACAATCCTTACCTTATCCACCCAAGCGGTTCCTTCATCCTCACCATCACCAAAAGTGAGAAACATTTCAGCACAAACTTTCTTAATTTCTTCTTTCAAATTAGTCATTTCAACGCCCATATACTTAACTCCAGGGAAGACATCAGACGACAAACTATGCAACAAAGGAATGTCTTCAGCAAAAAACAATTTGGGAACCACAGTTTCAAAAACACTTTGAATAAGGATCTGCAAGAAATTTACAAGACAAAAAATTAAAAAATCCTGGTAATTCAAAGACGTGCATAGTGTAGTCCTAAAAACTATGCAAATTTTTCATTTGCAACACCAGAGTGAAAGATGATCGCAAAAAAGTTCAATTTTAGCAATATCCTTGAAGTAATATAAAAAAACCCCAATAAAACAGATAACCATTACATAACATTCACTTCCTTGCTGTTCATCTAATCCTTCGGATATTGAAGCTTCATCAACAGCTTCACCTTTGGTTCTTCTTTAACTTTTGATATTTTGTCTCGTTTCACATTACCGGCACTGATCAATACACTCTTCAACGCACGAAGACCAATATCGTAATGAGATTGATTTGAAAGTTGCTCCAAACAAAGCCTGAATATAAAACAAATTATGTGACTTAGTTTATCAAAAACAACCGCATAATTCATTAACAAATCATGTAGGCAATTCTTAGAATACCGACCAAGCAGACCTAGGTAAGTTTATTTAATTATTCCTTAACATCAGTCAAACAATCGTCAAATACACTTACTTGAAGAACGGTACAACCTTGCTGGCCAATTTTTCAGCCATCCTAAATCCTTGTGAATAAAGCATAACTTGTGCAATAAGCTGCCTGTCAGGACTAGTCATTGCCAGACTACAGAATAATTTCTTCAAGTTATCAGGTAGATTAGATCGTCCTGCATAACCTGGATTCATTGTCACAGATGGCCATATCACGACTCACTTTCACTTGTTTGCTCACCAATTCAATAAAAATATGAGAATCTAAAAAATATAGTATTTTATATACCGAAACACAAATTCCGAAAAACAAGTCATCTTGAGATAGCAAAATATAGATCAACAATACAAGACGCAAAATAAAACTGTAGATAAAGTCGAAAATTTACAGGGCTTTTTTGCGTCTTGTATTGATACATATTATGCTATCTCAAGATAACTTATTTTATTCGCAATTTGTTTTTTGCTCTACTTTTTTAAACTGTTGACTGGAAATGTTTTTTTTATAGTCTTTTATGTACCCAGATTTTATTTATCTGCAAAATGTAACTGCGCATGGTCATACATTAACTATCAAACTTCAAATTTTCACAAATTTAGTGGACATACCATCACTGTTACTGTGCTCTTTTAAAGCTTCTTGGATTGTTTGAATTTGCTGCGAGACAGCCGACAACATTCTTTCTTCCAGACGATTAAATTCATCAAAACAGCCCCATGCACCAACTTGACAGAGACCAACAAATATACGACCCATTGCCTATATTTTGCAAAAACAAATTAAAAAAAAATCAGCCAGAAAAACTGCAAAACGTAAGTTTACCATGAACGACTTAAATTTAGTAATTTCATTTTTCATAACTTAAGAAACTCAACCTGAAAGTCAAAAGTTTCATCACAGTTGAATACAAGAACAAATCTTCCCAGTTGATAACCAAGGGCTTTGACAGACTCTGTTTCTCCAGTACCAGCGGGTCCTTTGAAATAACAACATATTATTCAATCAAAAAAATAGTTTACTTTATTTAGACGTCATTAAAATGTTTGAAAGATGAAATCCCATTTCTAAGAATACTCACCAAATGGCGATACACCAAGGCGTCCTTCTAAAGCTTGAGTCATGGTTAGATAACAACGATCAGTCAAGGGAGTCTGTACAAGTTTATCTTGAACACCAAGATACTCAAAACCATAATTGAATTTAGCATTGGCCATTTGAATCGAAAGTTGTTTTAGTACATCTTTGATTTGGATCAAAGTAAAATCTCATCTCTTTCAACCAATCAAATGCTTTCGCTCCCAGAGTTTTATTGTTGATCAGATTACGTGTGACGTCACGTTGGTGGACAAGCTCAGAAATCTACAAATTAAATATTTGCACGTGTATCCAGCGTGTTTTTCGCTACGTAAAAGATATTTTAGTCAACAATCGATAACAAGATTCACGTCCTGATGTTAAAACCTAAGCATACTACGTTTTAAAACATCAATTTACTCACCAAATGTTCTAATTTACGCCTTCTCACAGCTGGCTGTTCGTGAAGTACAGAGTCAGCTAGGACATTCAATGACGCCTCCACAATCCTCAATACTTGCTGTACAGCGGCAACATCAACCTTCTGAAGCGCAGCTTCTGTGTACTGGGACCAAGATACTTGACATGCAAGAACAACCAGTTGAGCCTGTACATAAGAATCATAATTACACATTAAATACTTAACAAATAGATAATACAGTTATACAGTTATACAGTTATAGATACACGGGTCTATACAGTTATACAGTTACACAGTCTATACAGTAATAGATACACGGGTATGAGTTACAGTTATACAGTTATACAGTTATACAGTGTACAGTTATACAGTTATAGATACACGGGTCTATACAGTTATACAGATACACATTCTATACAGTTATAGATACACGGGTATGACGTCATTTGTGATAAAAACTAAAAAATAGGCCACGAGCCGCCGGGGCGAGTGACGATGAGCAATTTGGTTGAAATTTTGTTATCGAAGACGAAGTAGAAATTAATGTTTGAAAACCGTTTTTTCCCTTTCTTTTCGCTCAAATACGTTAACTGCCTCAACTAGGTCATTGTGAATATCTTTATTTTCCCATTCAGGGAAGTATTGCGATAAATTTTCAAATATATCCGCCATTTGTTTGTTTTTATAAACATGAAATGTTTTGTGACGTCAATTCTGTGCGTCTGTCCTCTTATAGATCATAGCCCTCGACCAATGAAATTGCTCAAATTCTTCTGGTTATTATATAAATGATAATAGCAAACTAAAGTTAAAACTTTATAAGTAACATCATCACAAGTAGCTTACTATATTAAAATACATCACATACAAAATATTATTAAAACAAACGACGATTTACTCCCAAACGAGTTAAAAACAAAAACTGACCACGATACCTGGTATTTGTCAACCCATTCAAGATATTTTTGAGCGTCAATATTTTCAGATTGAAATTGACTGACATCTTTCATTGCTGCAGCCAAAAGACTGGCCAAGGTTACTCTCATTTCTTTCTCGACACACGTCAACCATTCGTTCACTTTAGGATGTTCTTTCAACGAGACGGGTGTTTTAAATGAAACCTATTGAGAGGAAATCAATTAGTCTCTCGTTGTTTATTTTCATGAACAACATGAAAAAAATTCTTGTCGTCATTAAAAACAAGACAATAGTTGTGGTTATGAAACATCCATCGTTCTTTGGTGTAGTAAATACATATATACGTGTGAAGAAACTCGGAAAGTTACGTATTTCAACGTACTTCTTCGCCTTCTTTCGATGAAATTCTTGATATGATTTGATCTTCTTCATTAAGGATGATACTTGTGACGCCTGCAAACATCTTCTTGAAATGTTTCTGAAGTTTGGGAATACTTTTGTTGCCGATAATCTCCAAAATATCTTCATCACAAACGAAATAAAATCTAGGAAATTTTCAATAAGACATGTAAATGTTCTCAGAAGACTATCTTAACCATTTAAGAAGTGCTTTTTACTTTCTAGCATAGTATTTGTAGAAAAAAGAAAAGCCTCAAGTACAAAGACCAAAGTACAGTCAACCCATGTGCTACCTTTCTCAGAAAGCAGAATATAAAAACCCGACACAAAGTCCTGTTGCGTGTCATGACTAGTTCGATAAAAGATTTTTTAGAAGAATACTATTCTACTGGATTACTTTTCATACTATTTAATTCACAACTCCATGAGCCACATTAAAATATTTGAAAGTTTTATCATGTACTTTGGAAAGGAGGCTCGTTCACGTTCTAAATATTCACCCAAAGCTTTTTGAATCTTTCCTAAAAGATCAGCAAGTCGTTCCAACTGACGCTGTACTCCTTGGATATTTACAACATCCATAACCAAGGGCGATTTTGATACTTTCTTCATCAACGTCAAAAATTCCGTACTAATGCTATACGCAATAAAGTAAAAACAATCATTTATACTGTGAAAATAAATGTAAACAAATGATTTCATTTCACAAATGTAACATAAATAATAATAATGGTTTATAAGGTTTTGCACAATGCTTCAACGCACATGTCTATTAACTTATGATTGTCGCCAGATGCTTGAGTTTCTGGCGATACACGAAGACATTAAAATATTTTCATATTTACATGACCAAATCCTTGAAATCCATTATATTTCAATTTTTTTAAACTAATAAAACAATGAGGTGTTCTTTCTATCTTACACGAACGGTGAAAATAAGAATTTTTTCCCAAATCCTTAAAAATTGTTATCCTCAAGTTACTAATTTGTCAACGACATTAACAAACATAGATTTTTCTTCAGCAACGTAACTCAAAACAATGAAAATATAAGTATGTTTTCTAAATTTCTATATTCCGTCCCAAAGACTGCTTAGCCATAAATCTCCCTTAAATTATTTTCTTCGTACCTTGAAAATCTCTGTGTCTCTACAGGTAACAATGTCTTGATATCAGCACTTCCACTAAGAATACCATCAAGATAGACCCAACGACGTTGAACATCAATCCATACATCGAACGTATCATGAATACGATTCAGTTTCTCCTCCCATTGCAAAGCGTCTTCTTCAAATACCTTTTAAAAATGGAAACAAATTATCATTTATGCATTATAAACATGACACATTCGATGAATAAAATGTTTAAACTTTCAAATGTACGATTAAACCAATGGCAAGAAAACAAAATGTGTAGTTATGTCGATTGAATACCAAAACAAACCTTATAATAAGGCGATAACTTCATTGCGGTGACGCTGTTTAAATGTTCTTTTACTTTTGTAAAGAGATCATCCCAATAACTCGACATTTGTTCTGATAGTTGATCAATTCCAATTCAAACGTTTGCCACACATCGCGTACCTAAGCAGTTTAATAAATAAACAACTACACCACAATGACACCCATGAAATTTACAAACGTTATTGAAATAAAATAACTAGTTGAATATAATGTATATTTATTGACACATTTCTTATGCTAATTCTTCATACAATATACAAAAGCACTTGTGTACACAGAAAACACAAAACACAATTATCCTAATATATATCAAATAATAAAATAATACTAAATAATAATAAAATAATAATTTCTTTAGTAGGATGAGGCTGTTTTGGACTCACCAAGGAGTTAAAGAAATGATAGAGTATAATTTTATCATTATTTGCTAAAAAAAACTCAAATGCTTACTATAAAATATACTTTGATATTGATTATAAATAAAAGTCCTTTTTAAAAAAGCTTGCCGTACTAAACTAGCACTACAACTAAAATGGAAGCAAATCGACAGATTTGATTTAAAATTAATCCTGAATAAATCATTGTCAAGGATTAGCCCCATCAGAAGAAGGTAAGAATATAAAGTAACTTTAAGCAAAGTACATAGAACAGTTAACATTTGGATGGACCCTGACAAGATTTCTTTGTTCTGTTGTAACCTCCTTAGGTTCGTCATCGGAAATAGTGCTTCCTTCAGTTTCACTGTCCATCTTGAGATGATGTCTTGCTCTGAATGCAACATGATGGGCATAATACGCAGGCGCAGGAATAGACACGGACCTGGTACAACGTACGTATGTATAACACAATTGATTGGTAAGAATCTGTAAGTCATCTGAGGTGAAGTTACTGTCATCGTACAATACATGATAAAGAGCTGGTTTACTTGTGCCTTGGATACCAGCATGACTACACAGGTAGAAATTAAACTCGTACGGATGACATATCTGTGTATCAACAACTGTGCCTAAATAAAGTAAATGGTTTGAACCAGGGAGTATCGTTACACGTTTGTAGATGTAGATCGTCCAGGTTAGTAGACTCCTGAGAAGGACTGCTTTCGTTGTTGTTAACGGACGTTTCGACAACCTTAGCGGTAGTCATCTTCAGAGTCAAATGAGGAGTTAAGGTCAGGTTAGCCGAATTTATTATCTGGTTCTTACCTCATTGTATTGTGTGTACAAGAAATGTGTGGGTTCAATTGTGTATTGTCATTGTGGATTAGTGTGAAATGTAATGTTTTTAGTTGCTCGTTTGTTTGTATTGTGAATAAGTCGTTTGTAAGGTGCCGGTGATTGCTGTGATCTGCTCAGGGGGGTTTGTTCCAAGTTAGTACACCAACTTTCTAATGTAAGCCGTTGTCTATAGTCAGTACTGTAAGTAATGCATTTTGCCGAGTCCCAATCAATGTTGTGCTTTGTGATTCGGTGATGTTCGGCAATGTGTTTTGTTTTGTTTTGTTTCTTTGTAGCTCGTTGGTGTTCAGTAAGTCTTTTTTGTTTAAGTTCCTGCCAGTTTCCCCGATATAGGAGGCGTGGCAGTCGGAGCAGTTTACTTTGTACTGCTCCTTGTCGTTCATTGGGTAACTCAAATAACAAAACATGTGATTCTACGTTAGTTTCCTTCAAGAAGTTGTGATCATAACATAAAACATGCTTACCTGCTGGAATATTTCTACTTTTGCCTTTTTGATCTTTAGGATCTGTTGCAAAGAATCTGGCATGATGTCTTTTTTGGACCACAATAAAGGTTATGGCAGGTGTCCAGCCTGCTTGAAGTTCAAGACAAGCTCTTTGGATGGCTGATAACTCGTTAATCAAGACATCTTGAAATTGACCCTCGCTAACACCATCTCGATAAAATAAAATCTTTTCAGGAATGGCTTTGGTAGATGATCTAAACTTTTTCAACAATGTCTTTGTCATTTCTTTCAAATCCTCAATCATTTCCTGTCTGTGTTTTTGGACACGAACCTCAGCATTGTAGAGGGTTGGGTATGAGTCTTTACTGGCTACAACAGCAGCAATTGAGGGACTTGATTTATTCCCAGCACCTGGATGGGTCACGTCAGCACCTGAAAACAAGATACATAAATGTTGACAGAATTGATATTCATGTGAGCTCTCACCAAAGTTAAGATCTTACCAAAAATGATCACAGGTCGTTTCAAAATTGGAGATTTCATGGCCTTATCCAAAGCACTCGTTGTCCCACCAAGTTTGGCATTCATTTTAAGCCACAAATTAACCAACGTTTCCTTCTTTCTCCAGTCTGAGAAATCATCACTAGCTTTCTCAACTTTAATACACTGTGTAATGATTCCATGGACAACATCACCACAATGCTTCACTTCTTCATAGAAATCATCTCCATCCACTGGTAAGACAACAACTATTAACTGCAGATTGGGATACCTAGCTTTCAGGCTACCAAACAACTTGTCAATCCCATTTAAGTCAGTTTCCAGTGACACATGACATGGATCTCCAACATTTACACCTTTCTCACGGCCAACTTCTATTAAATAGTAGATAAGATTATCCATACCTTGGTTGTCTAAATGGTCAGGACCTCTTCCACGACCTGGTTGTCTTTTCTTGTATGAAATCAGTGCCCATTCCCTTAATTCCTTAGGGTCGAGCATTTTCTTTGTAATCTTCCATGCACCATCTCTAGGCACCTCTTGGCTCGGTCGATTATTAGGACCAAACATCATGGAAGGAGGATCTAGGACTCGACCTTGTATACCAATAAGTTCATTACCAATGCTGAAACCAAAGTCATGTAAATAAGGATCTTGCTCAAATCGAAGTTTTCTAATCAATTCCATGATTTTTTGCATTCTGTCTGGTGCTGGAATAGCTGTACTACGAATCATCTGTTGTGTTTGCCGTCCAGTGAGCCTTCCCTGTTTCTTTTGACCACAAACTACATTGCAAAGTTCCATTGGAATGAGACTTCCCTTTTGACCAATTTTTACACATGGAAGATCTGGATGTCTTAAACTTATATTATATGTGTTTCTAAAATAATCAAGCACAGTGAGTTTGCGACCATCACAGTCAAATGTCTCTTCCTTAGCTGATCTGTTGGATAGACCACTTGCCTTTTGCTTTCTTTTCATGTGAGTTGTTTCCACTTTGATGGCCTTAATCTCCTTAGCAAATTTCATTCTTTGCCTCGCATCTAATGATCTAGGTAAGTTTCTTAAATTAAGAAATTCACACATGAAGTCAATAACAGGCTGAGCTTTGTAAAAACCAGTTGAACTTGTATCAACATTTAACATCATTTTCCACTGAGTTGGTCGAATACTGAGAAATGTACCATTCCAGACTTGTATACCTCCTCCAAGATCTCTTTCACGACCACTTGGATAGTCAAAAAATGAAGAACGAACTTGTATTGTTCTCATTTTTGGCATTTGTTGTATAACAACTTCAATAGCTTGTAAAGTATCATAAGGAATTTCAGTACGTCGGCCTTCAAGTAATTCGTTTAGTTCATAAAGGCTACAATAAGCAACCCATTTAATATCAACAATAAACGTTTTTTCTTTGCCGTTATCTGTTGTAAACTGTACTGTGTATTGTTGACCTGACTCAAAACCAGGAATTTTTTTCCTACAATAGATATTCTTACCATTTTTATCATACACCCACTTGGGACCTCTTGGGTTATCTTTGTCATACGTTTCTTGAGCTTTCAGTAGAATTTTTGGTCTTTCTGACCTTGTGAATCCTTCTTCACTTTTTTTTCCTTTTTCTTTGATGTCAGAATGATAATGATGAATATCCTCAGTAGTGAGTTTAAAAGGAATAAAATTTACTCTGAGGTTAATGCGTCGTCCCGATCTACCTCCTGCATCTGGTCGATGAGGTGGCTTGGGTACACCTTTACTGGACTTGGGAGGAACGGTTTTTATTTGACTGGGTCTGTCTGGTTTAACTGCTCCCTGGGGAGTTTGGGCTTGTGGTGGTAAAGGTTCAGACGGTGCTGGTTGTGGTGGGCTAGATGGTTGAGTTGATGGTTGGGTCTTCGGGAGGTTTTGTGGTGTAGAAGGTTTTTCCTGTGATCTACTAAAAGCTGCACCATCAGCTTGATCGTTACTAGGCAATCTCCCCTCACGTTGTTGTTTCTGCTGTTGTTGTCTGCGTTGTTTTCGTGATTGTGGCTGTTGTCCTTGTGGCTGTTGTCCTTGTGACTCTTGTCCTTGTCGCTGTTGTCCTTGCCGCTGTTGTCCTTGTGGTTGTTGTCCTTGTGGCTGTTGTCCTTGTGGCTGTTGTCCTTGTGGATGAAATCTTTGTGGCTGTTGTCTTTGTGACTGTTGTCGTTCATCACGTTGCGCTGGATGTTGTTGTTGTTGCTGTGGTCCTCTATGTTCAGTAGCTAAAGCTACACTTTCCTCTTGACGTTCTTGTAAACCACCTGGCGTACTTTGACTTTGTCTTTGCTGTTGTTGTCCAGCTCTTCCTCGTCCACCTTTATTTTTTCCTCGTCCTTTCCCTCTGCGTCCCCTTCCCTGGCCGCCATCACTCATGATAACTGTGATTGGCTTTGTCAAAATATAAATTTTTGATTAAAAAGACGAGACAATGTCACCAAGAAGTAAACGAAAGTCAAGAATCGTAGTTATTTCCCCGAATTTGTTTTCCCAGAAGGAACTTGACAAAGCCAATATAATATGACGTAGCACAGATCGTAAAAATTGACAACTTTTTATTCGCCCTCGTTTACATCATTTTTATTCGCCCTCGTATCTTCTCAAAATATCTTTCGAACACTTTCTTCTCAATAATTCACACCAATATTATTTATTCTTCAAATGATTATGTTTGATTTTGCCTATAAATTTAACGACTTGCAAAGGAAGGAGGCACACTCGGACATCTAGCAAAAGTAGGCGCATTCGGAAACTTCTTACGAAGATGATTTCCGACACCCGAGGGTTTATTTTCGTATTGCGTGGATTCTCCGATAAAACTTATCGCGGGAAAATGGAATTAATTTAAAATAGTAAACAGTCTCCGCATATTGTACATCACCACACAAAACAAACGAAGGTAAATTTCTGTTTATGTTTCCGCTGGTAAACTGTTCTTATAAGAACAAGCACATATTTTTATACATATGGAAAGTATTGACATTTCAGCAGCGACTTCTTTATTTAAAATCAAACTGTCTGAACGCTCTGGACTTGTGCAAAATGTAGAGGAAGCAGAAAGTCTCCTTAGAGAGTACGAGTTGGCAAGCACAACTAATTTTTGTGGAAAAAAAACAAAAAAAGGATTTGGGAAAACAGGTTTGTATTTTTTTTCTCTCAAAATATAACTAATCTATATCGATCTATATGCTTTCCTTATTTCTGTTGTCCAGATCAAACTGTTATATGAAACCTGAATGTTGTCATATTCTTTAATATAAGAAGTACTATAATATCCATGCACATTTGAGTCTTACTATCCTCAGTCTGTCGTTGTGTGTCGAACGAGCAAGGAATAGGGAAACTACACTCATGGCAAAAAAGGTGAAAACCAACTCATAGGTAGTACTTTAGTCTAAAAAAGAGCAAGAGGCAAAGCACAGTTTTTCGTTAAAAAGGTTTCGTTTAATGTGTACAGAATACAGCCACGTAAATCACACAGTAATGTTGAATATAATGGTTTAATTTGAAGTAAATGAAATCACTTATTCTATTTCTATGTTAGATCTCACAAGTGCCAATCACAAGGTTTGGTGTAAAGATGGCCAGCTTCCATTTGACCATATACCGTTTGTTCAAGTGAACCATAGGGTCTACGATTGTCGTCATGGGGTAGATAGGCATTCAAGCCAAAAGAAGAAAAACAGAACGGTAATAGATGTATTATTCATCTGCTAATGCAATACTACAGGTTTAATGAAAATAAAATGAAAGTGAAACGACGTTGCTGACCCCTGACTGTGGGGTGTTTGCAATTGCATTTCTTGTGTCATTACTTTTTAACCAAGATCCAACAACTTTGATGTATAATGAAGGTTCCATGCGATCACACTTGTTGAGTTGTCTGAAAAAATATGAGTTCACTCCTTTCCCTTCGACAAAGAAAAGGAAAATTGATGACAAGAGTCAAATCCAAAGAAAATTGAAATTTTCACTGATGTGCCACTGTCAAATGCCATGGAACCAGAAAGATCTTGAAAACCCAGACCTATGGTGTACTCAGTGTGACAAATGCTTGGAGTGGTTCCACAAAAAGTGTTCACCAACAATGCCAGATTCAGTTTTCCACAAGACAAATGTCACTTGGAAGTGTCCAAAATGCGTATAATGAATCAAAAGAATAAAATGCTTTAGAGGAAACTCAAAGTTGTAACTATAGAAAGAATTGTTATATTTTGTATTCAATTGTAAGAGTTTCTCTGGATTTTATTAATGATTTATTTAGCTTTCAACTTGGTGCTTGGCTTATATATATATGTGAATGTACATTCATGTGTGCATGCACACACAAAAGTAACCCTTTATCAATATTTCAATGTTCAAGGTGACTAATGCAACTTTCCATTTTGATATATATACAAATATGTACAAATAGCGACAGCAAAAACTTGTAGATTTTATTTTACAAATATGTAATATACATATCTAAGATGGTAATTAGTTTCCTTGGTTACTTAGTTACCTTGAACATTAAAATTGTTACATATATAATGTAGAATGACTATTACTGATTTTCCCTTTATACTACATGAATATGTTGTTAACAAATTGCCACTGGCACATGCAAAGCATAAAACACAATTGGCAAGATTATATTCTATAAAAAATATGTCAAAAATTTAGTACATAAAGTGATATCAAACCATCGTCTAACAAAAAAACCAGAGAAATGGAGAAGAAAATGTCTAGAATTTTCAATGTTATCTTACCTTTCTTGATAAGTTGATTTAGATTTGTTTATACTGTAGAACAAGTGATGGAGAGCTTACATATGTAATACCAGTGGGCAAAATAATTTCAAAATAAATTGTGCTTTAATTTGCTTTATGCTTTCAGGTTTCAACACACTTAAAGTTAAATAAATGTGTACTGGTATAAAATTTTTAAATTCTAAACTGCTATACATTTCCATTTTGTTGATCACAATAATGATTAAGAATCACAGGACACCATTTGTCTTTTTTTACTTGAATGCAACTATGTCGAATAACATGTCAATATTATAAAAATATATTATACTACAATATACTGCGCTTACCTTTAAGTTTGGTTTGATCAATAGTCTTTTCAAAATACCACGACCATTTTTCTATCTGTTGTTTTTATATGCAGCGATATTTATCGCTCACATACACGCAGAATCCACGCAATACGAAAAATAAACCTCGGGTGTCGGAAATCATCTTCGTAACAAGTTTCCGAATGCGCCTACTTTTGCTAGATGTCCGAGTGTGCCTTCCCTTTGCTAAAGCTCCCTTTGCTAAAGCTCCCTTAAGCAAACCAATCGACGCATGCGTTGTATTTTTGTTGTGTTGTAATGAAGTAAAAAAAAAAAACTCGTGGTTTTTATTGAAATGCCAAATCGTAAAAGAGCTTGCTTTCCTCGCATAGAATCGTGTTAAAGAAGTTCAAAAGAACACGAAGGAATGGTCTGTGAAAATGAGGAGTGCTATTCCCGAGGTTTCCTGCGTTCTTTCCAATGAAGAAATCGACAGGATTGTAGAAGATAGCCATGAAGATTAAGATAGCCCAGACTGGAAAGTATGCAAACTGCGCAAGCTAGATCAATTTTTTTTAGAAATTTTGCGCGGCGGATTTTCGACTGCGCTGCGAAGCCATAAAATATTCGCGAGATGCCAGTTTTATTTTTTCCGTATCACACTCCATTTTTGATAGTTTGCAATTGCAAATAATTATGAAACATAACATAAAAGATGATACATGTGTATAGCTGTAGCTTACCTTAAGTTGGAGCTTGCAACTCTCCTTTTACAACGTGAGGATGTGTCATGTGTAATCACAAAAAAATGCCACTTTACCTTAGGTAGTATGTAACGTGTCGAACGACCAACGTACCACGTATGTTTATCATTCATCTGTTTCATCGTTTCATCACAGCGTATGATACGATAAAAGGTAGGCAGGCACCAAATAAATTTGATTTACTGACGTCGTCAAATACGTCGTCAAAAAAAAACAAATCAATCTGGAACCATCTTTTGTATAATCAGCAGCCAGATTGTGGAGTAGAAGGTTTTTCAGTTAATAAAAGTTTATAATCAGCAGGCAGATGGTGGACAAAAAAGGTTTTTCAGTTACTAATTGCTTATAATCAGCAGCCAGATGGTAGAGTAGAAGGTTTTTCAGTTAATAATTGTTTATTATCAGCAGGCAGATGGTGGACAAAAAGGTTTTCAGTTAATAATTGTTTATAATCAGCAGCCAGATTGTGGAGTAGAAGGTTTTCAGTTAATAATTGTTTATAATCAGCAGGCAGATGGTGGACAAAAAAGGTTTTCAGTTACTAATTGTTTATAATCAGCAGGCAGATGGTAAGCAGGGGAGGTTTTCAGTTGATAAATATTTATAATCTGCAGCCAGATGGTGGACAAAAAAGGTTTTTCAGTTAATAATTGTTTATAATAAGCAGGTAGATGGTAAGCAAGGGAGGTTTTCAGTTGATAAATATTTATAATCTGCAGCCAGATGGTGGACAAAAAGGTTTTCAATTAATTGTTTATAATCAGCAGGCAGATGGTGGACAAAAAGGTTTTCAGTTAATAATTGTTTATCATCAGCAGCCAGGTGTTAGACGAAAAAGGTTTTTCAGTTAATTATTGTTTATAATCAGTAGCCAGGTGGTGGACAAAAAGGTTTTCAGTTAATCTTTGTTCATAATCTGTAGCCAGGTGGTGGACAAAAAGGTTTTCAGTTAATCTTTGTTTATAATCAGCAGCCAGGTGGTGGACAAAAAAGATTTTTCAGTTAATCTTTGTTTATAATCAGCAGCCAGATTGTGGACAGAAAAGGTTTTCAGTTAATAATTGTTTATAATCAGCAGGCAGATGGTGAGCAAGGGAGCTTTTTCAATTGATAAACAATTACGATCTGCTGCCAGATTTGGATTGAAAACTTTTTGATTATAACTGCAAGAAGCATACTGGTTGACGCTTGACTAAAGTTACAAGAGGAAAGGTAGCTTAGGGCGTGATGTTATGATGCGTTGCAAAACCTTGGACATCTCTCCTTCGTGTGTTTGCCATGCTCGTCGGTCTCTAAAAACAGGAATCATATATCTGGACAAACCACGTTCCTTATCCCCATTGATGTAAAGTTTTGCCATTTCGTTCAGTGCTGCGTCGCATTGAAGTAAAGATGGTAAACTCCAATCAACTTTAGCACGATTCATTAGCACTTTTATGCTTTGCCCACCATCCATTTCTTGCTTATCCACCACCCGGTAAAAAGATTCGGCAACAGCCTCAGTTCCGCATTTCGCATAAAATATGTCAAAGACGAGACAAAACTCTTGGCCGACAGCTGAATAAAATGAGGAATCGTTATATAAAGATTCAATAACGGCCTCTTCTTTAAAAAGAACGTCAATCATTTTACCATTGTTGAGCGTCACTTCGAAGACCTCAGAAAGGGTGAACTGCCTTGGTGTACCTTCTTGGAACCTAGTCACAAAGACTCCTTCCTCGAAAACCACATCCTGCAAGGAAAAATTCCTTCGTCATCGAGAGAGATCTTCTTGAAAAATTAGGAAGTGAGTGTGTAGCAAATCACCCCAAACAACGGCAATGAGTGTTTTCTTTAGACGCCAAAACACTGTGGATGATAGCTCGCTACAAAGCTCAAAATTCTTTTCAGAAACATGTGGCATCTGTGAGGAAAAATTTACACATCGTCTAAACTCATTAGCTCCAAGTTCAGAAAACTCCCTGTTGTTTACTGGACTTTTTTCTTCCGAACGAAAACCGCATAAACCACGAAAAAGTCGCCCAAAGTCAAAACACTTTGATAGCATTCTGTTGAGGTCGGAAAAGCTATTGGTGTAGCGAACATCAATCTGACTAATGACATCCGCAGCCAGCTTCTCTAGATCATGAACACTGTCCTGCATTTCTCTTGCTACCCAATCCACTGGCACTTTACCGTCGCCTTCTCTAACGACAAACCAACCAGTTTCCAACTCACTTTGCCCAAAGCAGTAATCTCGAATTTCATGAACTGGGTAAATTTTGCCTGCAGGTGGTCAACTCACTTCAGTCCCAGGTCTTTTCGCTTTCACGAGCTATAAGTATTAGCAACTAATACAATTAATTCATCATTTTTAGAGGATTTTCAGGGCTTGTGGGAAAGCTTGCTCTTTGACTCGGATGTGAAAAATCAGGTTGTTCTTCATAATGAACATTTAATGATTTCTCTCGTGAGCGAAGTTTAAATTGTAGCTTGTTAAGGACGTCTTTTGCGCCGAAATAAGTTAACGTTTAAACAGTTAGCTGTCAAAACGTCAAATAGATTTTTTAAGGATTTTCCTAATTTCTCCTATTTTCCAATGTACATTATGTACTCGGAGTTACTGGTCAACGGAGTTACTGATCTGCTAACTTATTAATCTCTAATATTTTCAAAGGTTTACGCAAGCGATGACATTGTGCACCGTAGTGGTGACAAAGCTTACTTAGTAAACATTAAAATACACATCTCAGCAATTCTAGCGAGTTATATTGATTAAAAATGTTAAAAATTTTGTTGTTCTAATTTATTTACGAAAGTATATGTCGTGCCATGACTATGATATTTCATGTATCTCATTTTATCTTATTTTTTAGTTGCTAAAATATGCGGCAACGACACTTCTCTTCTCCGACAGGTTTGTCGTGAAATGAAACTATTGAACTGAAGACTTTTAGAGAAGCCAAATTGCAAAATCGTTCGTTTTTCCATCTTTTTAAAATCACTCCCAAACAATGACATTTCAAAGTATATATTAGTCACGTGTTTGAATCATATTTTAGAGGCGTGGATTTCAACATCATCTCGTGAAATAAAGTTATCTTATTGCATGGTAAGTTAGTTTCCTTGGTAACCAGACGTGAGTCCTTGCGTCATCGTCCGTCACGTGTATCTTTTACGAATCAAATTAGATTCTATTTTGCGTGTGTTGACTTTGTAACAACTCTCATCTTAACGGAGTAAATCTCTTATCACTCATAACATTCGAGACTGAAAAATCACATATCATAGTATTGATAAGAATAAGTTAGCTACAATCAGATAGAATGAAACGCGAGAGACGTGATGGTGTTTTAACGAGCCAACTATTAAATGACGTCAAGGCTACCATGTTTGTGTACCGCTGTGACGTCACTCGAAAACAAACAACGAAGCCAATCAAACACCAGCATTTACCACTCATAGTACATCATGTTTGTCTTCACGTGATCTACTGCAAATATCCAGAAGAATGAGTTGAGCTTTTCTAACCAATGGGCAGGGTCCCATTGGACAGGCCACCAGAATCTTTCTTTGCAGGACAGATCATCATGCAAAAGTTCAAATACAGGCTCGTTCATGCCTGCAATGAACGGCTCGTTGACGTATTGTCCATCCATCACTCGCCCTTGCACTTGCAGTAGCCGATTATCCTTAATACCAACATGCACGTCAAGATCTTTAAAAATGGATGCAGCTAGAGCATCACCTGTACCACCAGTTGCATCAGAGTTACTGTAAACCTCCCTTGCGTCAAGGACAATGCCTCGGCGACTACCATTTACAACTGGACAAACGATAGTAACCTGATTAGTGATGCGATGATTGGTAGATTTATCAGCTGTAACATAAAAATGTGGGGCATTCCTGTGTTTGGAAGAGGGTAGAAAGAAAATTGGCTGCTCTCATGTCGATGTAAGCACATGCTGCTTTGATCATGTCTGGAAACAATTTTCGAGAATGACAAAAATCACCAACATCCGCACCAGCAGCTTGAAGCTCAGCAATTCGTGCTTCATAATGAACTGCAGCTACTTTGTTTTCACAACACCAAGAGCTGCACGGAGTTGATTCTTTGCAACAAGTACTTCCCTTGACCTCCCTTGCTTTACCATCTTCATGTGGTCATCAGCGTTTTGTGGGTCAAAGAAAGAAGATGTCGATGACACGCTTGCTTTTGGCTGTACCATTTTTCACACTTGCCTGCAATTAGCTGTTCATACAAGGCATCTGACATATGTAAACCAGATGCCAAAGATCCGTCTGCTTTGCCAGTAGGTCGATTAAAAGATGACGAAAAGGAAACACGGGAAGAGTTTAAAATTCGACACACGTTCGACACTGCAGCACCCAGCTGTTCTCTTCTTTTAGTATTTCAAAATCTTCCACTTCATCCACAAGCTCAATCAAATTGGAAGATCGAAGTGCGGTACTCGATGTGGGATTGTATGTAGTTGTTGAACTTGTTGATTGGGCTGATTTAGGGTTACCACTCAACTTTTGTGCCACCTTAGTAGCAATTTTTCCGCAAGTTCGTCCACATCAAATGGCAGGTCGCCTTGCTCACTTGATAAAATTGAAGGAAGAAAACTTCAAGCGAGCTTTGATAGCTAAGACGGCTGGTGTTTGAAATAGAGGCAGCCTTACTCGTCTTACTTACTGCATTAACTCTCACAATCTCTTCGCTGTAACAATGAAAGTGTTAAAAAGCCAACATTAAAATTTTCTTGCAAACTGTGTGAAAAGTATATGTACTAAGAAATTCAACAGAAGACGTTGAAATACTTAATGATTTCATCGTTAATATTAAGCGACTTAAGAAATTTGTAATGTAGAAATTACTTATCCGAACAAGTAAATTATGGAAGCCTTGAAATAAAAAGTCAACACTTTCAACCACTATGGCATAAATTTCACAAAATATCGTGACAAAATGTCGTAAAATCTGATACTATAATGCAAGAAAAATGCCGTATTTCACTAACAAACCTCTCATTTTTTTCATCGATTTCCTCCCAACTTTCAGATTCACTGACACCAGAAACGATTTTGCACGAAAGTTATCATAGAAAGCTATCACTGTATATGTAAAAGAAATGTATTATATAACATGTATGCAGTTTGTGATATTCGGTTATTTTATGGTTCACGCAGGGGAATGAGCAATTTAGCTACCTTTCATCGACTTCCATAATTTCTATCCGTTCTCCTATTCCGTCGCCACCACACTTTTGTTGCACTTGGCTTGTACTGAAAATACATTTAACATAGAAAACATACACAATGTAAGTGCAGTTCTCAATTTGGGAATTGGGAACTTGATTTTCATTTACCTAGCCGATTTAAACATTTTGTACGCCTGTAGCGCAGATTTAGCAAGAGGGGAATCTTCTCTAATAGCGTCATTTGCTAAGGTCTTTTCGCCCTTGTCGCTGTGAGTTTTTAAATGGTTTGCTAGAGAGGACTTGTTCCCTCTAGCAAGCCAAAATTTGCGTTTGCCTTGCCTAAAACAAAGTAAGCAAAAGCCCATTGGGGTTTTCTCGTGTCTCTTTGCTCGCTTTGCTTCTGGTCCTGTTTTCTGCTGCTTGCTATGTCTTTTAAACATGTTGGCAAACTGAAACTCTATAACACACAATTTTATGGTTACAAATGTGTCGATAGCCAATCTTGGTTGTTTACTATTGTTTTATAAAACCCACTGACAATGTCATGCCACTTTTCTTTGTGACGCAAACACGATCACTCTTACACACGACTAACATTCTAACACTAGATAATTGTTCTGTTACCTTCCTTAGACAGTGTTTGCTGCTTATTTTAGCCACTGCTGCTGTCTCAGTTTTGCACAGCCACTACACAAGACCTGGGCACCAAAACCTTCATCATCACCTGCTGATGTTGAGCAAGGCGGAATTGCGTGGCACGTTTTTGCAAACTTTGCAAAATGGCTTCCACATTCCTTCTTGCATGAAACGCAAACTAGTAATTAGGCAACAACAATGAAAACATAAGTTAAGATAATGTAATGAACGTTTTTGGTATCAAAGGCAAGCAGCACTAGTTTTAGCAACACACAAATGTTGGTTTGGTACTCTTAGTGAGAAGTGAATATTGTCGAGGAATCACCGAATCAGCTCCTGCAATCAACCAATGGCTGATATATATTGTGTATATTGTTGTTAGGAAAATTTTCGGCTATTGTAACGCGTGAATTTACCTGATTTAACTGCTTGAATCTCAGCCATCTAGTAAAAATAAATAAACAATTAGATAAAAAAGTTTGTCAAAAAATCTCGCTTTATCACCAAACAATAGCGAGCTAAACCCTGTTAGTTCGTTAGCAAACCGGTTTTAATTATAAATTGCTTCATTTATCAATATGTTTTATGTAAGGATTGTGAATTTTATTTGCCTTAAATGTATTAAAACATGCTATGTAGTTTGTAATACAAGAAATCCTTTCGTACCACTACTTTTAGGTTACACAAAAAACATAACTGTTAAATAATAACTTGTTTCCCCGGGCGTTTAGTGTTAGAAGCGTTAATGCTTTCAGAATTTTTATCATTTGTAATTTTGTATCAGTACTTTTGATTTTACTAAACCATTACGTGTACTCACCTTACAAATTTGAACACCCCAAGTTGGTTTAATTAAATATCACGTATCACCGTAGAATACACCACACGATTGTCTTCCACACGATTTCCACGTGGGGATTTATGGCGTCAGATTTCCGCCAATATAGACCTTTCGGAGAAAGGGGGGTGTCATCCAATAGTATCGTCCAATAGTATGTCCCACAGGGGGAATGAATGAATGAATGAATGAAAATCTTTATTTTGACACGCTGGCCTTGTCAACTGGGGTTGATTTCCACAAGGGGCGTGCTTTTGTTCAAAAACAATTACAAAATTTACTAAGAAATAATTATCTACAGAAGAGAAGTTTAAATATTTACAGAGTTTGGTTTATTCAATCAGTTACATGTTAAACTAAATCATAAAATGCAAGCAGCAATTTTCTTTTGAAAGAGTGACACGCTTTTGCTAATTCTGATTTCTGCTGGAATTGGATTCCAAACAGAAGCCCCATCATACGCAAAGCTTTTCTTCAAGGAGTTAGTACAAGGCATAGGAACATTTAGACAACTTGTAAGAATTTGTTAGATCAGATCACGAAAAGCTTCATTTCGTCAATATTGGTGCGCTGATTTGAAAAAACGATGTTATACGGGCAATTTGACATTGTAAGATGTTTAAATATAATAAAATCAAGAAAATCTTAATGTAAATGGTTTGAACCCGGGAGTATCGTTACATGTATATAAATGTCGATCGTCCATGTTGTTATAGTCCTGAGAAGGACTGTTTTTGTTGTTGTTGACTGACGTTTCGACAACCTTAGTGGTAGTCATCTTTAGAGTCAAAGAAAGATGACTGAAGATGACTACCGCTAAGGTTGTCGAAACGTCAGTCAACAACAACAAAAACAATCCTTCTCAGGACTATACCAACCTGGACGATCTACATCTACAAGCATGTTAAGAAAATTTTAGTAGAGAACGCCTAAAAAACTTGTAGTTTCACGATCTGTCTAAATTTTTAATGATTATAGGTAAACATCGTTTCATAGCGTACGCCCGAAGATCTTTTTTGAAATGAATTTTACAGTTTATCAAATGGAAAAACTAGTTTTAATCAAATATAAACTACTGGTGAAAGTATATAATGACATTACAGTGAACTTTGATTCTTCTAGCAAATCTCTTGTGGAGTTTTATTTCTAATATGAATTGGGTTACGTAAAGTAAAAACTCTAACGGCTAACGTTAATTTTGAACTACTCGTGTCCGTTCATTTTCCAACATGAAGTAACTCATCCGCCGCGCTAAGAATTTTGTGAAGATTTTGAATGGTTGCTGGAAACGCTTTTAGGTCAATACAAACCATGCATAAACCTTGGTTTATGGTTTACGCTTTAGGTCAATACTAAAGCTATAGCCGTTTTACTGTTCATTTACAATTCTCAGCTACAACAAAGAAAATAAATTGCCATATTCATGGTTTTTACCAGGCAGATGATCCGAACTTAAATGGTGGTTTTTCGGGAAGAGTTCTTTATCAGTGAATCGCTTAATATTTTTCGCTTTTCGACTGCAGTTTTTGACGTTGAAAATTGATGTTTGAATGTCTGCGTTGCTCTTCAATAATGGCGAAAACTTTAGCGGGAAAATATAAATGCCGGCAGGAGTGTTAAGCAAATTTATTGTTTTGAAAACTGGTTAAATCTAAACTAAAAATAGGTACGAACTGTGTACATGGACTTGCACACGAACACGGTTTATAATGATGTTAATTATTATGTGGCAGCGTCACTTCCGATGGAATGTGGCGCTTTGATCAGTTTTGAAACATTTTGGCGTTCCATTTGTCTACATTTTTGATCGCGTATTCCAAAGTAATCCACTTTCGGAAAATGTTTTCGTATAATTTTCAATTCGGTACAGGATTTTCAAACTGTTTACCTTTGAAAATTAACGTCTGCCTGAAATACTTGCTGTATTGCAAAATCTGGCTACTTCTCGTTTATCGTGCATCGAAACTTTCTAAACTTTATCTCTAAGTGAATGTTGATCATTGATTCTTCTCAGCAATACGACGAAGAATTAAAAATTTTGTCCGACGGAATTGAAGATCAGCGTAATCTGATAGATCGATTGAGATTGGATAATCAAACAGAAATGTCGGGAAAACGAAAGAAACTCGAGGATGCCAAAGAAAGGTACTTTGAGGAGAAAGTAATTATGAGCATGTTTCATTTTGACTGTTACGGGATTTCATCATGAATTTTACTTCAAATAATCGTGATATTTTCATTTTTTATGTTACCTCAATTATGTAAAGATTAAAATCAACAGAAGTAGAGTTGAAGCGTGAAGAAGAATCTTTAAAATCATTTTTACGTAATGGGTGTGAGCGTGTTCTGAAACACAAGACTATAATAGAGGTAATGTTTTTTTTTCACCTCTATTTATCATAAAAGATATTTGCCGTGTTTGAACCTGCTCGAGAGTTTTTACAAACGTCTCTGTGGTTTGCATAAACCTGTGTAAACACGGAAAAATTCTTTTCTTTTATAAAATAACAATAATGCCAAACAAAATTTCAAGGAAATGTCTTAACCCCACCCCCCCTCCCCTCATTAATGTATTCATGATCGATTTGCAACATTCTCTTTAATTGATTTAATTGATTGATCACAGATTGGTTTGCACAGACTAATGAAAACTTAATCTGCTCAACTGAAACTTAAAATCTTCAACTTAATAGCGAGCTTTAGCAAGAGTACGACTACGTGTACGAAGTTTGACCGTGTAAGGGAATGGCACGAGGAAGTTCGTGGTCGTTGTCGCGTCGTCAAATGGTTGTTTTAGCCGTAAACAACAGAACGAGCTTTTCCTGTGAAAACACCGCATTTTGAGAAGCAGCTACGGCTCTATTTGTTAATAATAATATCGATGAATTCGTAATACTGATTTAGCGTGGGTATAGGACTGTTTAGAGAGAAAAATCTTCATTATTCTACCTTTTATAGATTGTATATTTGCATTACTTTATTGTCTTTTTATAATTCACTTTGCGTCCCAGATACATGGAAGTTTTGCAGGTCGTATTTTCGTTTTTATTGTAAACTTGCGTTCATAAATAGATACTGAAATAAAGCTTGGAAGGTCAAAAAAAGTATTGTAAACTAAGTTCTTGCACAATAAATAAATATACCTACTTTCGTTTCTTTAAAAGACATCATAGATATCGTACTCAGATTGATGACGGCTACGAGTTGTTGATGTCACAATGTTTTCGCGCCAAAATGACGTAATTCGTACTCTTTGCTGAAGCTCCCTAATGAAACTTAAGCAAACCAATCGACGCATGCGTTGTATTTTTGTTGTGTTGTAATGAATTAAAAAAAACTCGTGGTTTTTATTGAAATGCCAAATCGTAAAAGAGCTTGCTTTCCTCGCATAGAATCGTGTTAAAGAAGTTCAAAAGAACACGAAGGAATGGTCTGTGAAAATGAGGAGTGCTATTCCCGAGGTTTCCTGCGTTCTTTCCAATGAAGAAATCGACAGGATTGTAGAAGATAGCCATGAAGATTAAGATAGCCATGAAGATTAAGATAGCCATTTATTTCTTAATCTTCATGGCTATCTAAATGAATAATAAATGAATCCACAATGAGCGACTTTATACGGCGACACTTACAAAACCAAACCCACGATTAGTCAGGGCGATCGTCTTTCTAATACTGGTGCAAGGTTGTCAGGCATATCGCGTCCGAAAACATCTTTGGAGCTAGCAGGTTTCCTTTATGGGATTTAAAATGTTTGTACCATAACGTATATTAGCAGTATAGTACGTTGTTAACATAACTATTTGTTTTGTTGGCTTACTATCTCTTGGTGCTACAGGAACTTCTACTTGTGAATACTGTGGGAGTTATGTGTGCTTTTTTTATTTGAATTTTAGCAGAAAATCAAGTCAATATGGACGTGAATCGTACATGCAGATAAAAGACTCCAGACCGCTTAGTGATAAATGTGAGATTATGCTTTATCTTCAATTTAACAAACAGCAATTTTCATCAGTTAAGTTACTTGTATTGCCATTTATCTTTCAGCTTATCAGCATCAAGAAATACAAGACATATTGCAGGTATTTGCTAAAATGTCGGCATTATGGTAAAAGTAGTTTTTTGAATTGTTTTTGTCTGTTCAGTTTCTTTCGGTCAACGATTACCAGCATCCAATCTCCATGAAGAAAATGACGATTCCAACGAGCAAAGAGTTCCTGAAAGTATTTTCCGTTAGTATGTTGATCTCTGTTGAATCAATTCACGTTGGTGACCAGTGTGTGTATTAGTTGAGAAAATATATTCAAATTTTTTCTGGAAAAACATACATCCTGTCTCACAATCAAATTGATACTAGTATTTATATGCAGCTTCTGGGCATCCAATCGAAACAAATACAGCATTAATATGATGCAGCATTGATATAAAACATCATATTGCTATCATATCACAAATATTCCAATTTGCATTCTAGTAATCAATGTATAACATAATTCACACAATGTTTGTGACCTACCGAGCCTGAAATCTCTATGAACTTTGCAATTTACTTTGCAGTTGTATTTTACAGTTCCTTTATAGCCATATCAGTCCAACGGACACATATATAAAACTAAAAGAAAACCAGAAGAGGAAGTACCGAAAATCTTCAAGAGTCTTGGTTACTCCTTCACCATTCATAAAACATCGTTATCCAATGTTGGCTCACCTCACACATGGCCAGTGCTCCTTGGTGCACTTCACTGGCTTATGGAACTTGTCAAGGTTGAATTTTGTACAAACTGAAATTGAAGATTGATGAGTTTGCCCAAACATTTTAAAGCGTGATTTCCTTTTCTTCTTTTTTTTTCAGTTGGCTCAAAATGTTAATGACACCATCGACGAATGTCTGTTTCCCATGAATGATGAGGACAAGGTAAGTTATTATCTCTATCAAAATGTCTTTGCAGTCTGAATGCCATGACATGTGATAACATGTGTTTCAAATGTACCTAGTTTAATATGGCTGTGAAAGTCATAGATATATGGGATGTTTATGCTTGATTTTCCAATGAATTGTATTAATATACCAAACAATTAAGCGAAATGTAAATGTCTGACATGATAGGGCAAAACCTGCAAAGTATCTTCAGAAAATCTAATCTAAACCAAAGCAACCACTACTAAATCATTCCAGATCCATCTCTGTATTCAGCAGATGTTTCTGCCACTGTTAATGTCTCACTATGTACACCTTTGTCTTGTTACCGCAGTTGTATTTTGATTACCTTGAGAAAGCGTACGAAGCGTTTATTTACGGTCAAGACTTAGATAATCTGGATGAGTACACAGAAGCACTATATGAAGAACTGAGTGAGTGAAGTTGTCATTGCATCAATTCCTGTAACCTTTGGTAGTGACCTACAAGATTTATGCATGTATCTGTTTCTATTAATGTAGGAAACAAGAATGCTCCACTTATTGCTGGTAAATGTGTATTGTTGAAAAATTATGTGCATCGTCACTTTGTAATGTACAATTTTATGATTTTCATATTCCAGAAAACGAAGAGCTGAGTCACGAAAACAAGCTACTGGAGGAAGAACTGGCGAGACTTGAAAGTGAACCGGTAGGAAAGATATTGTGTCGTGAAATTTTGAGAACTTCAAATTGCTTATTTCTAAATGTGAGTGTGAGCAAAATAATCGCAAACGGTTGGGTACTTTTACGTACATGTGTGAACATTTTGGAAAATCGCTCATATAAATTGTTCAGAGCCAAAACTTTGGCCACTGGTGAAGCTCCATCACTGTGAAAAATTACTGTGACATAATTTATGACATAATTTGGCTCGATCCTAGGAATGGCTCGGTTTTCCGATTTTCATTCAGATTATTTGGCCAAAACTCGTACTGTGATTTTTCTTGCACGGAGCTTCATTTGTGCAAAATTAATTTAAAGGATTTTCCACAAATGTTCCCATACACGTTCATCCCTTTAAAGGTGCATCTTGTTAAAGTGAGCTACGTGTTTGAAATTTGTCATTCATCCTTTTGGTAGGGGTGGGGTGGGTCGCTTCCACTTTTATAAATACATACTTTTGTATTTCATATTTTCTTTGAAATTATTACCTCCTTTTATCTCCATCTTTTCACAGTTGATAGATGTGTAGCTAACAGTCTTAACATATTCATACTTAACCTAGTCAAAGCTTGAAGCATTAGTGGAACAAAAGAGAACACCAGAGCTCGACAAGTAAGAAAAGATTTACCGTGATCTTGCTTCCACCATGTACGTTGTATTAATTTGTGGAAACATGTACTGGGGATGTTGTCGATTCTTAGGAATAAATTCGAGACCTACATCACTGATCTCGAGAAGCATCGTCTCAAACTTGAGGAAAGAAAAATTCAGAACCAAGAAGAATTGAATGATCTCAGTAAGTGCAGTGTGGTGTCTTGAGGCATCCTCTTACACTTGCGTAGGGTGAACTACCCCTCCCATGTACAAGCCCTATCCTGAGTATGTCCAGTTAGGTCACCCCAATCGTGAAACTCAACTCACTTTCACAGAAAAACCCTACCGCTTATACGCTGACCCGTAGATAAGCCCATTTACTTGTGTAATGTTTATAGATCACTTCAGTACGTACGTACGTATAATATAGTCCATGCAATACTTCTGCCTCTCCCCCTCCCCCTCCCCCGCTATATTAGCGTCCATGTATAAGTGCATTTGTAAATTATGCGAAGGCTAAGGGTAGGGTATAGTACTTATTTTCTTCTGACAAAATATATCGACTGACCGAAGTTTGATATCTTAGATCTGGAGTACACAGCAACATCAAGAGAGAAAGAGCAGTTGGAGGTTTTGCACAGTTGATCAATATTCTTATCTTTTACTGTATTGCAGGCTTTTATCGTATGAATCAAGAAGGTTTTCGTTCTCTTGTTGGAATTTTTAGAAAGTGCTTGCAAAGCAAGACTTTTACGACCTTTCTCGTTAATTTCAGCTGAGCTCGGGATCAACTTTACTTTACGTAAATTAAAGTTGATCCCGAGCTCAGCTGAAAACGCCTGTGGCAATGATTACGAGCTGCAGTTGAGCGGTGGTAGATTGTCGTTGGATGTTCGAGGTCATTTAACGGTTTGTCAATATTGCAATTACATTGTACTTACGCGAGTGGACGTTTTGACGCGATCAAAAGCCATGCTGCGTGCACTGGAATTCTAGTTCGTCCTCAAACCAGCTTTTTAGGAATGTCTACACCTGATTATATCAATTACATATTAAGTTAAAATAATAAGAAAAAAATTGAGCTGTTTCTTCTGCAAACGTACATCTCTAATAATGGCATGCTTCTTCCTGTGTCATGTTGTCTAAATACTGCGGTGTGCTGACCTGGCTTTCCGGAATTGTGGTAAAAAAACCCATATTACCGCTGCGTTACCGCAAAGGAACTTTTGCCGTAACCTGACGCGATTTTTTGCGAGAGATTTTGTGGTAACACGTGGCTTACACGTGCAGTAGAATTATACGATTGATATATTTAATTCAGTGGTGTAGACATGTACGTTGTTGAACTACAGCAATGTTTTTATAGCTCAGTATGTTTGCTTTGAATTGGTTTCAATGAAATTTTGGTTTTGGTTTCTTTTCAACATGATCTAGGTACTAAATACCTATTAGAAATTTAGAGGTAAGAGGTCTGAAATCTCTATGTAAAATTAGCGTAAAACTCGTTACTGTGGTTTTTGAGTAACCAAAATTGGTTTTTGGGGTAACCAAAACAGCCTGCTAACGGCGGGCGTTCTCATGTCCAGATCTGCTCGCCGTTCATTGGCCATTACGAAAAGTTTCCGTTCTTTCGTCATCGAGGAAGAGGCGAATGACCATCCATGGATTTTTTTTCAGATCAAATTGTTTCGAGTAAGGCAGCAATTTACGCAGGAAACGTTTCGCTACGACGCAGACACATTGAAGCTTAAGGAAAAACTTGACTTGGTATTCTTGTCAATATATGTGTTCATGCTTCTTTATTTTTCATATTTTTCATGAAGTTGGCTGGATTTTATGAAAAAATCCTAACATTTAATAATCATAGGTGCAGGAGCAAATATTCGAAAAGGAATATAATGTGCAATGGTCGAATGATAAGACTGCCACCGTGGAAAAAGAATTGGCCTGGAACATAAAGGTGTGTTTATGAGTAAGGGAAGTGTTTCTCCTAACTGTCTGTTCCTGCAAATACAGTAGACCCCGATAACTCGAACTGTTAGACGAAACGAAAATTCGTTTGATTTAGCGGTCTTACTGTGTAAAACTCCGCGTTTTCACCTCGCGCTCCGGCCAAGCAAAATCCGGCTCCGACTGCTGTTAAAACAGGCTCCGTTAGAAAGTTTATTTGCCGGATTTTTCGAAGGATACCGTTTCTCTGTAACTCGCTTTGACGTCTTTGATGATGAAGAAGATATTGCGGCCTGACTCACCATCGATTTATAGTAAAAAAATAGTCATTCTTGGACTATCTTGTTACCAATGCAACAATGGCGTCATATTATTTTCAATACATAAAATACTCGATTTTTTTGAAGTTTTTCCTTTTTCATCAACAATAACTTCGTATGTTTGCTGTATTTTTTGTTTCGGTTTGGAAAAACATCAAAACACCGGCTCAAGCACACAGCGCTAGTTAGTGGGAGTTACCAAAGGCGTTGTTGTATTTCGTATGTTAGGTCAATACTAAAGCTATAGCCGTTTTACTGTTCATTTACAATTCTCAGCTACAACAAAGAAAATAAATTGCCATATTCATGGTTTTTACCAGGCAGATGATCCGAACTTAAATGGTGGTTTTCGGGAAGAGTTCTTTATCAGTGAATCGCTTAATATTTTCGCTTTTCGACTGCAGTTTTGACGTTGAAAATTGATGTTTGAATGTCTGCGTTGCTCTTCAATAATGGCGAAAACTTTAGCGGGAAAATATAAATGCCGGCAGGAGTGTTAAGCAAATTTATTGTTTTGAAAACTGGTTAAATCTAAACTAAAAATAGGTACGACTGTGTACATGGACTTGCACCACTGATCTGATAATAGACTGGATATAGGTTCTGCAGGTATCAAAAGTGAAGCCTAATTATATATGCAAAATTCACTTCCGGTTACCACGGCGAGATACAAATTACTATAGAAATGTATGGCGGATAACGTTTACAAACATGGATTTTCGAATATTTAAGACCTTTCGCGACTCCTTTCTAACCTCAAGTATTAGTCATGGATAAAACAGGTTATGCAAATCGATTTGATATCAAAATGATTCCTATAGCTGTAAAATATCGACGTTAGTGTTGATTTAAAAGTTGTACATGCGAGAATGCATTTTGTCCCATCGTTGCCAATGCAAGATAGTTCACTGCTCGCTTTCCAATTTCTGAGGCATTTATGATCTAGTATACCTTTCAGTTCTTTAGAAATGAGGTGAGTTACTTTTTTTATCATTCTTTCTTTATGTTGAGAGATTGTTGACATTTTATTTTTGCTGTAAAAGATAAAGTGCGAAAGAAACTAAATAAACTTGTCTTGTTTAAGCATCAGTAGTACTTTGCTCATGAAAAAATGAAGTTAC